TCAACAAATCTGGGGCCTGGAGACTGCACTAACTGTGAACAGGCAAATCGCACTTCGGTCTTCGCCTCTTGTGATCACAGAGCCGCCTACAAATAGTGTGGAGAAGCGCTAGCAGTTTAGGACCAGAGCGTCAAATTCTATCCGCCCGAAAGTGACCTTTGATCAGTCTTTAAATGCGGCTTGACCTTCGGTGGCTCCCTTCACTGCGCCGGAGCCAGCGTGGGGGCTTGCCGCTTCCCTGATAAACCTTCCTGACTTTCCGGGTAGTCTGTTTCCATTGGGTCTAGTACCGGTGGTTTCACTCTTTCAATTTGTTTGAGCTTGGCTTTCCGGATTGTATAACTCAGTTCCTTGAAATAGAGCTAGGTACTTCGTTGGAGGCTGTCAGGAGGTGCATTGGAGCGTGAGTTTCCTGTAGTCCCGTTTTCTGTTCAGTCGTAAAATTGTAGGCTAAGTCCAGCTGACAAAACTATTACATTCCTGGCCATTGAATTCCGGAGAATTTATCTCTTCTTTTTCGTTTGCAACGGAGGGAGGAATTCTTTAAGTACGTGCCCATCCTCGCGGCTTTTCTGGGAGGCATAGCATGCTTGTAGAGAAAGGTGATATTTCACTGTTTCCACAGCCAGTGAATGGTCGGGGACCGCCTACACCAAATCATGCGGTGGCACCACTTGTGACACTCCATCTAAGGTCCCTTTGTTGACGCACTTCGCTTCCTCCGTATGCAAATTAGGTACAAATTTATTGTCTTTTTAACGAAATTTCGCCATTAGCAGCCCGCCATTCTCAGAATCCCGGCATGTGAGGAGAGGGACAGCTAGGTGCGCGTAGCTGCACCGGCAAAGCATTCCAATAATTCATAGCTACTTGCACACATTATCTAGCGGACACGCCCACAATTTAGATTTGTTGGATCAAGCAAACAGCGCTCGGCAATATATAAGATATACGACCAGACAAGTTACCTCGTCAACTGTCTACTAGTTCTTAGTTTGATGAAGCTAGTGCAGTGAAAGATGCATCTGTAGCTCAGCCTATTACGGAAATCGCATCACCCTAGAGCGATACTTGCGTGCTATACCGTGGTGAGCGCTTGGGTCGGGGCTAATTGGTGATAGCTACTGCAACCCACACGACTGTTGTAGGCTGGCGAAAGTAAGCTCTATTGAAGAAGCGCGCCAATAACGGTTCTGCTTTCACAAGGTAGAAGATTTCTTTTTGCACACTTGTGTGAAAATATGTCTTATTCCGCATGTCGGGCTCCATGTTGTGGGTTCTGCCACATAGGTAGCGAGCCCTGCAGAGGGCTTGGCTGCAATTAGCTCTAGAATGGCCGTTTTGCACGCTTTCATACTCGTTCCACTTCCTTATTTAACCTGGTAAACGCTTCTCGCTTAGATTAGCACATTCGGAAAGGAAAAGCAGTGAGGTAAACCTATATATGAGAGAATTTTCACTGTCAGCAGCCGCGGTTTCTATTCTGTAGATGAAAACTTCGGGACATCCATGCTTTGTCTTTGCAGCGAGCAATTCGAGGCCATCTTTGCATCAGCGCTAAAGTGCATCTGCTATGCATAGTAAACGCTGGATGTAAAATAAGATGCTAGTAGCTTGCAGCGAAAAGGCACAATTCGGTATCCGCCTGCATGCGCGTTTGCTGATGCAGACAGTGTCTTACATACGGCCATGTTTGTGCAGGCGCATGGATGGCTTAGGTCCCCAAAAAAAACTGTAAGAAAAAAAGAGAGTACTTATTCAATTGATTTAGTCATGAATCAACGTGATGCTGATGCTCGGGATTAGGCCAACTAGTCGTAGCTGGAGATTTAGGGTGACCAAGCCACCCGAGCTCTAGAACTTAGCCCACGGGTCAAGTTGCGCAATTTAGGCTCACATTATTTGCGAAAAGACATCTGGCTTACTCAAAAATTGCTCTAGGCTATCCAAAATGAGCGTGTTTAAGTTGAAAGACACGAAACAGCACCTTGCCAGCTGTCGGCCATCTGCATGAATCAAAATGCCCCGCGTACCCTAGTTCAGTCTACACAGAAATCTGGGAATTTTATTCTTTATTGTTGGATTTTCCAGTGCAATACAAACCAGCAAGTATAAATTTCGAAGGTTTGTGAGTTTATCAAATTTAAAAGCAACAATAAACGTGAACATGGGGGCTGGGCCATTCCTGGAGGGGGATGGTCACTGTGCATAGTTCGATCCTCAGAGTCAACAGAGCTCCATTCTAGTGCCTATTTAAATCATAAATCTGTACAGTCGGTTCAATTTGTTTCAGACAGGATGTCTTTGAGGCGTAATACTTGCGTCTGCAAACAAACAGTCGGGCAATTGGTTCACGCAGGGCACTAGTCAAAGCCGCAGTGTAGGCAACCAGCTACGCCTTGCCAGCTCAAATGATTCCACAAGGCCCTCCAAAGCTCACGCTTGTGAGAAAAGGATTATATGCTTGCACTGGCCCGATGCGGGGTTTTATAGGAGACACCGCGATACGGTTGTAAATATGGATATCGCTTTTCTGGCAATGTATTGGCTGCATCTAGCGCGAACTTAGCCGATTCACGACTTAAGCAGCAAAATAGCACACTACCCCTGCCCACAATGACACTGGCCATGACTATCCCTTGGGGTGGCTGCACTCAGGTACGCTACGGTCCTCCTGTGGAAGTACCATCTGATTCCACCGAAGTGACCGCTGCATTGGCAAATGGAAGCCACGAAGACAACAGAGACACAGTGGGATTTATTGAGCGGATCCGCAGAGAGGCACAGGGGTCACGAGTGCCGTTACAGGCGATCCTTGACACTCTCTTTCCTCCTCGGGTCTGGCGCGACGAGAATAAGGTCTTCATGCAAGCAAGTGCACATCCTGAGTTTTATCTGTGAAGCAGTCTATTTGTTTCTAATCTCCTGTCAAAAGATAGCTCGCACAATGCCGCTTGTAACAAGCAACGGAACAGCCATAACTCCCTTTTTCCTCATTTGCCTGTTTGCCTGTCCCACTCTTTGACGTGTACGCTGCGAATCTCTTAACTACCAGCACGTAAGCGCTGCAGCAGCAGATCGCGTGGATGTGCTAAAGACACGTGAGGAGCTTGACGTTCAACTTCTCGAGAGACGAGCATCCGAAACAGGCGTCTGCGCTTGTCGCTATGATGCAATACTTCAGTGCTTTGGTGAGACATGCAGCTTCTACTGCCTAGTTAGGTTTTAATTGGGAGAATTAATTATATGCCAAACCCGGGTAACTGTAGGCCTGAGTGATTGGCTTAGACAGGGTGCTGCCGTGTAATGAAGCAGAATGCGGTTACAACTAGGCAAGCAAAGGAATATAAGTATTTAGCTGTTTCTACACAAGTAGCCTGAGTCATGTGGTGCAGATGAGCTCATTCGCCAGGTGGCGATTCTTTGTCCTGAGCGGGCCTTTCTTCTGATTAGGTAAGGAACTGACTACGGTCAGAGGGGCATAGTCTACCTTAGAGAGTACGATATAGCAAGGGCTTGATGTTATTCCCTTTATGTTGTTCTTCTGACGTAGAGTCAAGGATGAAATTAGAATGACAATATCGGCCCTGGAGGTTCTTTGCAAAAGCTCCATAGGCTTCTCTGTCCTCAAGCAACTTCAAAGCCATAGTGTTAGATCAACAACTAAAAGAGAGCAGGCAAGGCAACGTACATGAAGTGCACCTCTAGCATGGGCTTGCTCTGCGGATAGGGCCAGGAGACAGTACGTGGAATATGCCTAGGTGCAGCAAACCTATCCGGCCTGGTAGTGATATGTTCTGCCGCAGCTAGTTGCTCTGCAAGAAAAGAATGAAGAACTGAAAACCACTTTAGCACTTCTTAAAAATAAAATGGAGGCATCCAAGGTGTAAGTTCGAGTCACCACATGGTCAGCTCTACCGGTTCTGTGGCAATCGCTCATAGTCTTTCTGATAAACTGGACGTATACTTGCTTTGGGGGGAAAATAATTGCAAAATTAGCGCCCCTGCGAGAGTGCTATACACCAGGAGACCCAGCTAAATAGAACGTAAAAGTTACTCGTGCCCTATTTCCCTGATGGTCAATGATCACCAACGACTTCAGTAGGAATCTAACCAGCATAAGGGGAAAGTTCTTTAGACCGCCACGAAATTTAATATATGTGGATTCCGGATGCATGATCTGAGTGCTCCTGATCTGTGCGTTTGCTTGCTTTCCTTCGGCAAAGGCAGATGACGGACGAAATCAACGCTATTAAGAAACAGCACGCAAATGAGGTATGTCCGTTGACCCTGAAGGTAAATGAGCAGCAGTCATCTGCAACTTGCAGGCATTTCTAGTAGTTTGTCAGTACCATTTCTCATTTGTGCTTCCAAAGATCGAGCTGATGAGGCAGCAGATGGCCACGCTTGAAATGATCTTCATCAGCACTCACAACGCCCGCGGCAAAGTCACCACAACCAGCCAAATACCTGCGCAGGTTCCATCCTAGTACTCTAAAGGGTTGGCTGCTAGTATACCACAATGAGTAACCATCGGACTGCACTAGTCTGTGTTGGATGCTCCACCGATTTTCGGGTGAGCACAACCTTCTTGGCAAGCAAAAAGATGGAGAATCAAGCAATTTATTTCTCTGTTGACTGCGCATTGCTTTAGATGCGAAATTTCCTTCACACTACTAGATATACCTATTCAGCGGTGCAGTAGCTTTTAAAGGTTTTCCCTTCTACAAGGATTTTGCGGTGGGTTATTAGGCAGGACTGAGGAGTATGGTATATTTAGAATTTACTTAGCATGCACTGTCACAGCCTGTTCTTCAGCCATTTTGGCTTTTAGCATACTACCAGCACAAAATAGGCACACGATAAAAAGGTAGGTGTGTAGTTGGATGCGTTGTTTTGCAGAGCTGCGAAAATACAATTCAGGCACTGCACATGGATGATAGGATGGCCACATTAGGATTAGAACACGGTGCTGCCTATCTATTTTTCACTAGGAAAAATGGAGGCCGTGCTAGAAAATAAGGGTCAAAATGTTGGAAGAGAAAAATAGACGTGGAAGAGCATGGCAGGCTGCCACAGCAAGGGCTGCTGGTACATCGGGTCGTATAAATGGAAAAGTCACAAGTCCTGGCTGTGAGAGAACAGGATTTGACCAGGATGCGCATGCCCTAGAGCACATTAAATTACTAATGAGGAATAGCGTCTATCGTTGCATCAAGCTATTCACGTGTATTCGGTGTAGTAGTTTTGTCACCACTATCGGAGGTGGTCGACCGGTGGCTCTAGGGCCATCATGAGAACAACCTTAGCATAAATTCAAAGCTTAAGTATCCTGCCAGTATTCCCATAGCTGTGGCTTTTGAGCAGGCCAAGTTTACAAGGCCACGAGAAGCATGGAGGCTCTGCTTTGCGCACAAGCGGGCGCATGTACTAATGATATTTCCTGTAGGGAAATCATTGTCATGTACCAATATTGTACATCCTATTTGTCTATACCACTACACTGAGTTATGACAAGAGTTCAATTCACGATTTTTGCGTCGAAAGCATAACGTCGATGCTCTCGGCGATGTTAAGAAGTTGTTTAGCTGAATATTATAGCGTTTCCTTAGTGGATATGCCTTTTATACTTGCCTATCAAGCATAGTAATTGAAATATGATAGCATATGAAGTGAGTACCGCCGAAGCAGCTTGGAAATGTACTACCAATATCAGGACTATGAGCTGAGCAGCCCATTTAGGGTTTTTATGTAGAAGCTGGGAGAGCACTTTACCTGCGAGTTTTAGCTGAATACAAATCATGTAGCGCAAATTCACATTGAACGCAGTGGAGTACAGTAACGATTTTTTTGCATGTATCTATTGATTCATTCCAAAGAGAGTGCAAGACAGACATAAATAAGTTGCTGAGACGTTTTTCTCGCTGTGAGAAATAAGAGATGTGCGTTGCTAAGGGAGGCAAGAAGAGGTATACAAAAAAAGATTGCTTTAATTTCAAAGGGTACACGTCGATTTATTTCCTAGAGCTGGGAATGTAACTCTATACAAAGGCACCTTTCTCTAGAAAAGCATCGTGTCACTCGTTAGTTGCTTTGGTGACTCGAGGCGCTTCCCAGGGCACTAAAAACAGCGAAAGCATGGGCCAATACAGTCAGCTCTAGAGTTTACTGCGAGTGCATCAGGTGGAAAGTCAAGGAAATCAAAGGCTCATTTTGGGCTCCCAAAGAATTTTTTGGTCTATGCATTGCTGAGGGATGGAGGCCTGCCAAGTGAGCTTGCATTTTGCGTGATTGTGCTGTGGTAAGGTCGAAACCGAAGTTAGCGTGGCCTAAAATTGTACAAACCAAAAAGTCTGCAAAAGCCTCTAAGATCTATGATCTTCTAGACATTCTATGATTCTACAGATGCATCTCCGGATCACGTAGATTGAAACAAAATGTGACATCGCCGTTACAGGGCTGTCTGCCTCCTTGGACTGATTTGCTTACCGCAAGTGCATGCTTCAAATATCTAAAGGGGAAAAAAGAATTCGGTAGAGGCAGCATAGCAAAGAAATCACAAAAATACCTGTGCATCGTATCGGTATGAGGTCTCTGCGTCAGTCCGCCTGGAGCCCCAGAGCTGTTCTAATGCGTTTTAGGCCACTTTGCACATTTTCGTCCCCCGGAAACTCCTTATAAAGGGATTCATACAGAGTAAGTGCTGCATGTAGCTGTCCAGACTTGCGCAAGCAAAAAGCAGCCATTAGGCGCCACTTTCCCGCGGATGGCTGCAGCTGAGACGCCAAGGAAAAGTAGTCAAAGGCTTCTCTGTATGATGAACTTTTCACCAAGTTCACACCTATCCAGCTTGTGGAGTCCAGATCCCATGGCCTCAACCTAAGTACAAATCACTCACCCCAGCACAGGTGTAGATGTGTCGCGAACTCATGCATAACCTTTGGCGCGAAGATGCACATACAAGGCCCTGAGAATCAAAAACTAAGTCTGTATCTACAGCGGGTCCTTGTTGCTGCTTCCTCTTGGGGTAAGGTGCCTCTGCCTGAGGGGCTTGTGAAATGTCCTTTTCCAAGGGACTGCGGCAGGCTGTATCAGAGACATGGCCAGAGATATGGCACTCCCTCTGCACTGCTTCCTGTATGCAGTGAAGCAGTATGCTAGTCTTATTACAAGTGCAAAAGGTTGTGTACACCCAGCAATTCAGGATGCCGGTTGTGGGCACAAACAGTTCGATCGCATGTTCACATATTCACCCATGGGCTTCTCTATAGTGACTGTGGGCTTCCTGGGTCCTCCCAAGCATTGCACACAGCCGGCCCATACGCCTCCATACTACCGGGTCTTGGGGTCTTATTCGTGGCGAGGCCAAAAGGGCTAGAGCTTCCAGCGCTAGGGGCAGCTCGTTCTTCTGAAGGGAAGCCCAATAGCACAGGCCGCAGTTTGCTACGAGACCCTTAATACGATGCACACTAGATCCACACACGTCCAGATCGCACTATTGAATGTAATGATTAAGAATCTTCTTCACTATAACAGACAAACGTCACTTTTTTGAGCTTGCCTCTTCGTATATTGTAGCTGCATGAAACAGAGCTTCTGCGTGGTCAGGGGCCAGTTCGCGCAGTCGCCTTAGAGCATCAAGGGCCTCAGTGTTCCTGCATCACTCAGCTTGTACACACACCCCAATAATGATTGAATCAGAGGCACATAAATACGTTAGAACGAAGCAGCGGGTCCCTTTTCAAAAAGAACGCACTGTAGGGAGAATACAGCGCACTGTAAAAAGGCTCTAATGCGGGACGTTTGGAACCCTGGGCCGTTGGTAGCCCCACTGTACCTCCCGAGCTTGTGGAGTGTGACAGCCAGATTGTAGAATGCCTCTGGGCAACGGGAATCTAGCGCTGCCGCATCTTCAAACAGTTTCGCAGCGTCGTCAAGCTCTTTTCTCTGAGAGAGAGTGCACGCCTTGTTCACCAGTGCCCTAGCGCTCCCCCTGAGGGGATGCAGATAAGCAGGAGAAAGGCGCGCCTCTGAAGCACTCACCTAATAGACCAGTGGAATGTTTTGCAGAACATCACTTGTAAGTATGGTATTGCCTCACGACAAAAGGTCATCCTGGCATTTAAAGTGGCTGGAAAAACACAGTACTCATCTTCATGGATTTGTCTCCAGCTTATTCAGGATTCTCTTTACGAGTAGTCAGAGTGTCTGGGAGTTCATACAAGGGCGCTGCCCAGCTGCACTACCTGTCAGCTTCAACCGCCATCCCCGCATACGTAGCAGCTTGCTCGATGTCTCCTTCAAGAAGAAAAATGAAAGAAAGGTTGGTTGCTGAGCGCAGTGCTAGACTGGACCTCCTTGACTTGAATGCTTTGTAGGCAGCAATTGCTGGGTCCACCTGGCCCCCTCGTAGCCACCGCATTGCCCGCTCCAGCTGTACCTCCTCAGCCAGGTCGTCAAAGCCTGATGCACAATGTAGCAGCAACAGCATAGGACATCAGTTCGACTCGTTCATTGCTAGAAGCTATAGAGCAAGCTTGGCCTCCACAAGTGTGTTTATTGCTGCCATAGCAGCAGCCGCTGCCCACCGGCTCCTGAAAAGCAGAAACGTCGCTGCCAAAACGGCCTACTGTGTTAGAAATGCACCCAAACTGCCGTTTTGAACTCTAACCCAGCAGCGTGGCTCCGCTATGAAATTCTGAATTTCCAATCCCCCATTCTGATTGCTATCACCGGATACTCCCAACAGCGCCCGATACAACGGCAAGAGATAGCCTGGTGATGCAGGAGTATGCATTCGCGAGTTGCGCTGTAAAGTTTCGAAACATTCATCCAGTAGCTATAAATCCAGAGCGGTGCAACATGAGATTGGAGAGGTCAAGAAACGTCCTAGTATGCTAGCAAAGGAAATAAAGAAAGACCTTATGCTTGCGGCGTTGATATACTTGATGCAGGTGGTGTCGTTGTACCGGCTGCTGCGCGCTGCTGTTTCTGTGGCTTCCCCGCCACAAAATGCCATTGATTGGTACTATGGGCTAAAAATGCTGGTTAGAAGTGGGCCTGCATGGACTACCGCTGTAAGTTGACATGCTCACTTTGCTGTTATTGATGCAGCTGGACTGCTGCGAATTACGTTGGTCTTTTACAATATGCCGTTGCGTGCTGTATGTACGGTCCTACAAGTAATGATCGTCTACATTAGGTGCACTCACAGCCTATCGGACTAGCAACCTGTCGTTTTTGCATTGTGTGTATATAAGCAGAGCGTACCGTGCTGCTGAAGGGCAGAAGCAATGCGCTCGTATGCAGTATCCGGCTGTGCTTCCCCGCATGTGGCTAGGAGGCGCGCTGCCTTGAGAATTGTAGAGTTAGCATGTGCTTCGCTGGGATGTTCCAGGGCTTCATCAGCGTGCATGGCATTGGCGTTGGTTTCCTCAAAGGCTTCAGACAGCCGAGGCACATTGCGGGCTGCGCCGAACATGTTTATCAATATGTGCAGAGCCAGGGAGGCGCACAGGGCAGGAGCATGTAAATAGCATGATACCGTGAGGACGTAAAAATTAAAGAGAGGCATATCTGCTGTTGGTGCCACTTTCTTGTACATGGAATGCGCATGATCGCATGCAACCGTGTAAATGCACAAGCGCTCTTTGGAGTCTAGAGAGCCCGCGCCTTCGTGGCCTTTCGGGGAAGTGTAAGGTACCGTAGAAATGCATCTGTTCCTTCCTTAGCGTGAGCATCGTGATAAAGGCGTCTTGCATGCGTGCAGTTTCTCCAGTGGCAAGATAGCAAAGCAGTAGGTTCAGGCATGACGCCACAGAGCCACTATCTTGTGGGGCAAGCTACATAGGCCACAAAGCGTAAGTAAGAGGTTGCCCATTTAAAGAAAAGGCAGGGCACAGTGCTGCGGTGAGAAAGGGACGGAATTCTAGGGACATTTTCGGAGAAAGGAATTTAGCTCTAGAAGACCTAGCGCTTAGGATTCAAAGTCCAGGTGTACTGTAAACCTTAGCATGGTGCTCTTTGCAGTTACAACCAGCTGGAAGTAAACTGAAGGCTCGCCCACACTTTCATAACCCAAACATATCAGGGAGTAAGGGCCTAAGTTAGGTGGCTCATGGACACTTTGATTATTCGCGAATGAAGGGGGGCCGGAACCGACTAGAAACCCTGGATCGATAGCGCAGGGATGCATGTGCTTCACCAAAGAGCACCACAAGAGTGGAGCGTAAGATGCGAAGTGATGCACTGCGGCTTCAGACCCTGGGGTATGCGCAATACGATCCCTGAATAGGTGATATCTATCAACGAGAGGGACACCGCAGCTTTTGAGCTCCCTACCTGTATAGCCTGCTCATATTCCGTAGCAGCCTCGATGTAGCGCCCCATACAAAAGTGGCAAGTGCCCGCACTGCGAAGCAGTTGAGCCCGCAACAGCTTGTACCCCTGAACCAGCACTATACAGACGGAAGGGTGAAGCAGTTGCAATACACGGCCAGGCGTTTCAAAGCCTAGACAGCATGTGTGAATATTGATGCACAAAAGTTTGTTCCACACTGTGATGTGTGTAGATTCGAAGCTTATAGATGCGCTTAGCAGCTGTACATATATTCATGAACGCTCCGTGCATCAGCATGCCTGTATCTACACGTACAGCGATGTCGGCATGTCACTGCCTTTACGAAGGTAGGCCAAAGGCATACACCTAGTTAAATATTACTCAACGCTAGGAGGCGCAGTAAATGGAACAAGAATAGAATTAAAAGCTTTGCTTGTGGTGGGCAGGACAAAGCATGCCCGACTTATCAGCACTGCATTTTATACAATTCATACCTGCCTCCTAAATAATGAAGATAGGGCAATCAGCTGTACCTTTTTTCTTCAGGCAAAAGTAGTTTACGCAAGCGGTACTACAGGCTTACACATTGGCATGCTGAAAGTTATGCGCCGTAGAGGTGTTTGATGGGGTATTCATGCACCAGCGATCTGCACTGCGGCGAGACTCTGAGACTCACCTGTCCAACGGTAGGGAGGGGGATGTTGTCTAGAGCAGCTTTAAATGCCTTAAGGGCAGCCCTAGGTTTTTGCTGCTGCAGCAGAACCCTTCCGATGTTCGCCTTCAGCCTGCAGCGTCAGTTTTAACTCTATTTGACGAGGTGGGCGGAAGTCCTACCCCTTAGGTCCCCAGAAATACTTGCTACTGTGTGCTGCAAGACTCTGTTGACTTTCAAGTTCGTGCCCCAAACGCTAAACCGGAGCACCCAACGCTATATCCTATACCCTGACCTCTATGACCTTCGTATGAGGGTGCAGAAAGAAAAAGCGAATGTCATACTCATGTGAGATGCATGTTACATGAAGATCTCAACGAACTATTGGCAGATCAAGAAACGTGCCACGCAAACTTGAATGCCGAACCTCCCTGAGTTATTCCTTAACTGTGCACCAATGTATGCGTAGTGCTGGTATCTATTTATTACGGCTACACAAAACTGTAGAAATATCGAACAAGGGATGATGCATATTAATCACTAGCATGGTTATAGGAAACTCGACACAATTTTGTGTACATTTTGCGGGACTCCGGCAGCCGCATGTCCGCTGCGAGACGGCTGTACAGGGCGAGCGCTTCTTCGTGTTTGCCCACCTCCTAAACAACAGAGAGCAGCACAAACGACAGCGAGGTTGCACTCTGCAGAAAGAGCCGGGGGGTCAGCCACAAAGCAGACATGCATAACATTGGTGGAATCAACACATTCTCCTCACTAGTCGTTGCACTGCGACCAAAGAGGAGAACGTATTGGAACCGAAGTTTCGAAGGGGTGTGTTCGGGATTTTGTTTCCCTGTCTGTTTGCACCTTGAAGCAACGCTATGTTTGACAGAAGCCTGCATCTCTACCTGTCTGTCCATAGGCTAGTTGGACATGCACTCCTTAGATGTGCATTTTAGATGCGTCTGAAAAACGCATATTTTTTTGTGTAGGCTGCCACCTGAGGATATTTAGGGGCGTTAGTCAAACAAGACTTTGCACTTGACCATGTGCCAATACCTCCAATCTGAGGGCGAGGCTCGTCGAAGCTGCAAGTTCCAGGCTTAGGGCGTTCGCAGAAGAAGGCGACGTAGCACCGACAGCAACAGCAGCAGCAGCAGCAGCTGCTGCTGCTTCCCGCGCTGCTTGCAAGGCAGCAAGCCCCTTCTGCGCTTCTCCAATTGATTCAGACTGAAGAAACGCCTCCCAGGCATCCTTAAGGGGGGTCTCTGAGGAAGCAAAATGCGCCTCACATGGCCCATAATGCGTGCGTGCCCTCATGAGCCATGGGGGGCTGTCGGATTCACCGGCCCTTCAAGAGGGCCTATTTTCATTGTCTTGAGCCATACATAGAGCTTGTCGTGACTGGCGTCAATAGAGATAGGTAAGGCTGATTTCTGCACATTCAGCAGTAATGACAAACCCTGCTCACCCTCGGTGCAGTGTGCAGCAGCACGAGCTGTACCCGTGGCACACGACCTCGGAAGGTTTGAAAGACAAGGGCCTCCACTTGCGGACAGTTTTAGCTGTCTGCTTGCTTCTATTCCGTCTCCTGCTGGCCCTTCTACTGCCTTTTCAAGAGCCCTTCCCGAGCCCGTTGCTGTCCTTCGGGGCTGCCAAGAACAAAGAGAGCCACCGTCAGAAGGCAAGCGAGGAGGGCTCAGGAGAGGCAGCGAATGCCGCCGGATATCATCAGTCCCGTCGCTGCTCTCAGAGGCACCGACGCTTTCATGTGCCGCTGACTGGAACTGAGAGAGGGCTGGGAGCGAAGAGGACATGTTGCAAGCCAGGAACAGGTGCCAAATCGCTCCGATTTACCGCCACAGCATATGTTGGCGCGATTCAGTCACATCCGCAAGAGGCAATTCCTCTATGGGGTGTCCCAGTGGGCAATGCGTAAAACGGGTGCTTGATTTCCTGCAATAGCAGCAGAACAGGGCTTTCCCTGCCTGTGTTACTCAAAAGCGCTAATCACCGGGAGAGCGCATTACGCTCTTGGCAGCTGCTTAGGGCAGCAGGCAGCCGAGGTAAGCTCGAAAGGTGCTTCCCACCCGCCACTGTAGCTCCTCGGATTTTCTCTCGCACACGACTGGACTGTTGCGCGCAATAGGCATGAGACAACCGCCAACGGCTGGTTTGAAGCTGCCTTAATACTGCAGCAGCGCGAGCAATGGGCATCCACCAGAGAATCTGCTACTTCTACGCATTCCGATTTTTGTGTGCACACAGCAGCGCAAACGGCGAACTCTATTGCCAGTGTCCTTTAATCGAAAATATACCTCTATGCACGGCCTACAAGCCTCGTTATCGGTGCTCTGAAGCTGCAGCACTAGTGGCGACCAGAAGACTAGCAGTAGCGGAAAGGAGCAGGAGTAGAAGCAGAATCGGTGTCCAGTCGTGCGTGGCAGCGCCGGGCAGATGTCTGCCGCTGTCTGCAATAGAAATATCCTTGCACATGAGTTTACTTGCTCCTAGTTGATGTCATAGGTTTTTTTAACGTGAGTTTTCCTTTTTCTCGCAAGGAAAGTCAAATTCGCGACAGGAGCCAGACAATGGCTATTAGGGCTGCAGCCCTAATAGCCAGTCGCCAGCGGCCCTCATGGTTCGTAGATTTCTCCTGTTGTTACGTTTGCGCAGTTCATGGTCCATATGCTTCTGAGTTTGGAGTGTGGATTTGGGGGTTTAAGATCTAATGATTACCGCAAACAATGAGGAAGTCTTTGCTGGTGGGTGCACCGGATGCATCCTAAGACGAACGACCAATTGCATGAGCCTGATGCAACAGCGACAGATGCCCACGGCGACTCAGCAGCTCTAGAGAAGCTCCCTCCCACAGGGGAGGGGGGACTAAGGGGGGGATAAGAGGCCCCCTGCCAGCTACGGGTGTTTCTTCGTGCATACGCCTCTGCGGAGTGGACACCGCCAACCAGGCACTGCCTTGAGCTCTTTTGCTCCACTAACGGCCATACTTCGAGCAGCAGAGGTAGCGGACTCACAGCGGCATGCGGCGTTAGGGATGACTTGAGGCTCGCCAGGCAGGGCATCAGTTTTCGTTTGACAGCAGCCTGAGAAAGCCAGTGCGTTGTATGCGTGAACTGCTCCATAGAGGCCTGTCTCTGCAACCCGTAGAACCGCGCAGCAGCTCGGCGTCGCCATTTAAAGTGCTGCTGAGCTGCTGCAGCAACTGATCGAAGCGCTCGCCGTAAGCAGCAGCAGCACCCGCACCCTACTTGAAGCGGCCGATGGAGGCAGTGGCAGCAGCGAGGATGGCGGTCGACTCAGAGAAGGGCAATGAGGGAGAAGAAGGCGGAGAGGAGAAGGAACCCGTGGGGAAGTTGCAGATGCTGCTGGATCTAGGAGAGCGCTTCCTAGATTTAATCTGCAGCGGAACATATGACCCTTCGCGGGATGCAGAAGAGCAACTGCGGGAGCTGCAGCAGCATCAGCAGCAACAGCAGCACCAAAACGAATGCCGTCGTCGTCAGCACCAGCAGGGGCAAGACAGCAGCGGCGTGGGAGTAGAGAAGGAGTCTTACGGCGACGAAGAGGCTGGCGCTTCGGATGGCTTGGGACCTCCCGTCTCCGTGCGGCTCACAGCAGTTCCCTCCATTCTCCTATACCCCCCCAAGCCTTACCAGATGGAGGGGCTAAATTGGCTGGTGCAACTCCACAATAGGAAGCTGAACGGCCTCCTAGCCGATGAAATGGGCTTGGGCAAGACTTACCAGACTATTGCACTTCTCGCCTTCCTCAAGGAAGCTCGCGGCTGCGAAGGACCACATCTTATTCTTGCTCCTAAAAGCACCATTGGTCTGTGGAAAGGCGGAAGGGGGGGGAAGGGCGGGAGGGAGGGCGGGAGGGAGGGCAGGAGGTCAGGAGGATGAGGTGTTTTTTGTGAATCATGCATCATAGTCGTCGTCGTGATCACCGAAGAGAGGCACTTTGCACTTCTCTCGCTGGCCGTCTCCCTGCCTCTTGCGTTGCCGCCCCTCCCTTCTTGCAGCTGCAGTAGGAGGTTTTCTGTCTTCCCCCGTGTGCTGATAAGCCTTTCCTGGCTGCTGTGCATCTTTGTTCGGGGGGATTCTTTTTCAATGCGCTTTCTTGCGCTGCTGCTGTACGTGCGCAGGAAACTGGATGGCAGAGCTGCGCCGCTTCTGTCCTTCTTTGGGGGCAGTGAAGGTGCTAGGGGAGAAGGAGATGAGGAGACGGCTTCTCCAGCACATTCTGGCCGTGTGCAGACTCTCCAAGCAGCAGCAGCAGCAGAAAAAAAAGCAGCCTTGGCGCTCAGCAGCGGCAGCGGCGCGTAGCCGGACTCAAAGCCCCCTGCTGGAGAGGGAGAGCAGCAGCAGCGTCAGCAAGCAGCCGCAGGATGAAGAGGAAGCTGCGGACGAAGAGAGTCAGCAGCTGGAGTATTTGGACGCAGATCTGCAGCAGCAGCAGCAACAACAGCAACAACAGCGAACCGAGGAGGAGGAGCCGCTGCCAGAGAAAGTGGAAGTGGTGGTCGCTTCTTATGAGATGCTCATTGCAGAGAAGCACCAATTCAGCCGAGTACACTGGGAGTATATTATAATTGATGAGGCACACAGAATAAAAAACGAAGCAGGCAAGATCCGTGGCTGTAGCTGTACTGAACGTGCATGTTGCTGCTGCATACACACAGGGTGTTGCTGGTGTCTGTACAGTTGGTGCTGCGCCCTGCAATTGCCAAGACAAGCAGCGCTGCTTCTGCTGCCTCCTCAGGAAAGTTGGCCACTACGGTTCGTCAGTTTGAATCGAACTACAGGCTCCTGCTCACAGGAACGCCTCTGCAGGTACTCGGCAGGCAATCGAGCTTGCAGAGAATCCTTAGGAGAGGCGGCAGAAGGCTGGTGTGCCGCAACAAGGAGGGCATGCGCTGCGTCAGCGGCGGATCTGCGCGTAGAGGCTGGCGGTGTGTCTGCGTTTGAATGCTGCGCAGAACAACTTGAAGGAGTTATGGGCTCTGCTGCACTTTCTGCTGCCCCAGCTCTTCGACAGCGGGGACGACTTTCTCTCGCTGTTTGACTTGAGCGCGGCAACAGACGCAGAGGGAACAGCTCTGAGTCAGGAGCAGCTGGAGGAGCGAAATCTGAAGATTGTAGCTCGATTGCACAGGATCCTGAGGCCTTTTATGTTGCGGTCAGAGGCTGTCTCTCTCTCTCTCTCGCTGCGCTGCTGCTTCTTCCCCCGCAGTTGCTGCTGCTGTCCTTTATGCTCTCGGCGCTTGTGTGGCTGCCAGAAATGGCGGCAGGAAAAGGCTTTTGGCAAGGTAGGGGGAGGGGGAAGGGAGAGAGGCTAAAAGCCTCGGGAGTGTCGCGGTGATTGTGCTGCAGGAGGGTCAAGAAGGACGTTCTGCACGAGATGCCTCCCAAGAAAGAACTGATTTGCTTCGTTCCTCTTTCAGGTTAGGAGGATGCGGCGCATGTGGCCGCTAGCAGTTGCTAGGGGGCAGGGGGGAGCATCAGACGGCCTCAGGTTTGGTGCGCGGGAGGTGTCACGACGAAGATGGCGAAAGGGAGGTTGAGATGGTCGTCACTGTTGCAGGGAGTGGCGCCTCTTCCCCCCCTCTCCCCCCTGAGCGAAGCGTGTTGCGTCGAGAACGCCGCCTCGGAGGACAGGAGGGGAGGGTGTGTGCATATGCTCTTTAGATCTATGGAGAGGGGTATTATTGAGGACGATCTCGTAGTGTTTGCAGGGGGAGCTCCTGCCGCGTTCTTCTGCGGAACTGCTCCGCACCACGCTGTTGCCTCCTGCGATGTCGCTGCCCCCTCCTGCAGACATGCAGCGCAGCCTGTACCGTGATTTACTGACGAAGAATGTCGGTGCTCTCCAGGGAGGGGAAGGCGCTGGCAGAGCGCAGCTGAGGAACCTCGCTGTGCAGCTGAGAAAGGCCTGCAACCACCCCTACCTTTTCGACGGTGTGTGCCTTTCTTTTTCGGCGGATTCTCTGCCTGTGGTTTTGGATCTGCGTTCTGCTCCTCCCCCCTCCCCTGCGTCGTCGCTGTGCACTTTCCCTCCCGAGCCTCCTCGGAGCTAGGCTCAGCCAGGCACCTTCAGAGTTTCGCCTGCATGCGCTGCTGTCTGCCCTACTAGGGTATGAGTCTCCGGGAGAAGACCCCTTCGGAGAGCACGTGATTCTGAACTCGGGGAAGCTCCGCTTCTGCGACCGTCTGCTGCGTCGGCTCATTGCGGGAGGTAGCCGGTGCTTGCTCTTCTCCCAAATGACGCGCATGCTCGACATTCTCGAGGACTACTGCCGCATCCGGGGATTCGCGTATTGCCGCTTGGACGGAACGACGTCTACAGAGGATCGCGAGAAGCAAATCGACGCTTTCAACAGGCCCGGATCCAACATTCCCCTCTTCCTACTCTCCACCAGGGCAGGCGGACTGGGTACCAACCTCACAGCTGCTGATACAGTCATTCTGTACGACTCGGACTGGAATCCACAGGCAGATCTCCAAGCGATGGACAGGGCACATCGCATTGGTGAGGCCTTAAATCTGCCTGCCTCCGCTCTGCAGCTTTTCGCCCCCACAGCCTCCTTCTCCCAGGCTCGACTGACTCTCGCGCTGCTCGCAGCTTTTCTCCTCTGCCTGCCCCACCCGCCTTTCGTCGCTACCCTGACTCCCCTTTTCTGTTTGCCTGCTGCGCATCCACATGCCCTTGGCCAGTACTTCCAGCGAGGGCTGCACCAGGCGAACTTCTCGCTGCTGGCACTGCTTCTGTCCAAGTGTGTATGTGTATGTCTATGTGCGTGTACGTGGTTCCATGTATATATCTATGCATATATGTGTGTGTATGTGTCTATGTATAGGTGTACATGTATCTATGTATTGGTGTATATGTGCCTATGTACAGGTGTATGTGTATCTATGTATTGGTGTATATGTGTATCTATGTATTGGTGTACATGTGTCTATGTATTGGTGTGTATGTGTATCTATGTATTCGTGTACATGTGTCTATGTATTGGTGTACATGTGTCTATGTATTGGTGTACATGTATGTGTATATATGTGCATGTAGGCATAGGCATGTGTGTATAATTGGACACATATATACACATATGTGTGTAGGTGTATGTATGTGCATACGTATATATATATATATATATGAATTCTCAGGGCAGCAACGTGCAGTGAACGTCTACCGGCTGGTGCATGAGCACACTGTGGAAGAGAAGGTTCTAGAAAGGGCCTCTCTAAAGCTTCAGCTAGGTGAGGAATGGCGATGTCCACACACACGAACTCCTAGCCGTTAGAGATGAACGGCTCGGAATCACATGCATGCAAGGAGGGCAGGCAGAAAGGGTTTGCAGAGACAGCGTCTGGATGGAGCCGGTGCAGAAGGAAGATGCTCTGACAGAGATCTCCCGACGGTTCGACAGGCAGACTGTCATAAACAAAGGGCCATATGCAGAGGACTGCTAATTTGCACGGGCTCGGAGAGACTGCAAGTCAAGAAACGCGTAGGCAGTAGCTTTGTGCGTCCACGTTTCTCGGCTGATGCTCCACGCCTGTGTGTGTTTCTCTGAATAATGGCCTCCCCACACAGATACCGCCGTTATTCAGCAGGGCCGCTTGCACGAGGCTAATCAGCGGCAGCAGCAGCTCTCTCAGAAAGCACTTCTTTCGATGGTGCAGTTCGGAGCTGAGCACATCTTCAAGCCGTCGGGGAAGACTGACCTCACTGAAGAGGAACTGGATGCTATCCTCGCCAGGTAACCTGGTGTGCATGCAGAGGGGCTGGTAGATGCAGCGCACCTGTAGCAGCGGCAGGGGTATGTAGGAGATGCATGGAGCTTCGCAGCTGGCGACTAGTGGTATGTGCAGAAGGCGAGAGACACCTAGCGGTCCAGGTGTTACGGTGTTTTTGGGGGGGCAAAGGTCTCTATTTGTGTCCCTCTGGGAGGTGCTTTTTACCACTCTTGCTTCTAGGCTTCTCGGTTTGTGGTCTAAAGCTTATTTTCTTTTTCATCAGACAGCAGCGGGGAGGTGGGAGAGAGCACCCAGACTTAAACACAAAAGATGTTTCTCGGGTGTATGTTTACATGTATATGTATATATGTATGCATATATATATACATATACACATACATATATACATATATATATATATATATGGTTTGTAGGGGACAGGAGAGGACCGAGCAGATGCAGGCCATGCTGCAGCAGCAGGTGCGCCGGTCACTGTTGGACTTTAGCAGCACCAGCAGCAGCAGCAGCAGCAGCAGCAGCAACTTGTACGAGGCAGACGACTTGTGCTACCCGGAGGACAGAAAGGCAGCAGATAGGGATGCATGGGCGTCTCTTGCAAAAGAGCAACTCGCTGCATCCACTGAGAAAGACAGCCGACGCCGTCTGAGGACGACATACAAGGATGGGGGAGACTTGATGACTGCACCGCAGCAGCAGCAGCAGCAGCAGCAGCAGCAGCAGCAGTGCAAAGACTGGCGTCGACCTGCACACATTCCCAGAGTTCCTAAGCTTCCGAATATGCAGGTAAACAGTATACCTTGCTCAGGAGGACCTCTCGCGAGACTCCCCTCCGCATCTACCTTGTGTTGAGTTGTGGCGTCTCCTTGTGACGACTGCCCGCAACGCTCTCCTCTCATTGGTTTCTTCCTCTGTCGCTCTGCGTGGCCTCGTCTGCCTCGGCTCCCTCACCCTCTGCTCTGCGCTTCTTCTGAAGACTATGCTACTCGCGTGCATGCAAGCTCTCCGTCTGTCTCTCTCTGTCGCTGTCTCTCTTTGCCATGCCCTTCACCTCTGTGCCGCCCGTCGCGTATTCGGCGGAGCCGCTGCATCTCCCTGCGTGTGTGCTACCGTGCTGCGTATGTGTTATGATGATGATGCACGCTGAGCGTCGGAGGAAGCTGCCTCGCCTTGTGTGGTGCTCGAGAGCGCCAACGGAGAACCCAAAGCAACACTGCCTGTGCTGCATGCCGTCTTCAGGAGTGGCAGTTTTACCGCAGAGAGCGTCTCGAGGAGCTGCATGCGCTAGACTGGCAGTGGAGGCGTTCTCAGGGGCAGAGCAGAGAACCTACCGAGGCAGAACGCGAGGAGAAGCGAAGGCTTCTAGCTGAGGGGTTCAGAGATTGGGGGAGAAGAGACCTCATTGCCTTTGTTCGGTGCGCAAGCATAAGGGGGGTCACCTTGCCGCCTGTAGGCTTCCCTACCCCAACGCCGTCTGCCGTTCGTGCTCTCTGTCCAAGTAGTCGGCTCGCTGAGCGTTTTTTTCTTGACTCCTTCTTGCCCTTGCCACGGAGTAGTTCTCTCGCCTCCATTCTTCGACGCGCAGTTCCTTTGTTTGCACTTGATCTTTCGCTCTCTGGACGTGAGCGTACAACCTGCGTCACCACTTGCACCCTCTGGGGTGTTGCAGGGGGAACGAGATGTATGGTCGCTACGATCTGGCACGCATAGCGACAGAAGTGGAAGGCAAAACGGAGGAGGAAGTCCGTCGCTACGCAAGCGTCTTTTGGGAACGTCTGGGAGAGCTCAGCGATTGGCAGAAGCTTCTCAAGCGGATAGAAGACGGAGAAGCCGTTATCCAGAGGAGGAGGGAGCTTGAACAGGTATTTAAGGAGGCAGGAGGCAGCTCGCACCAAGTTCTTTCTTCATATAGACTTCCTCTATTTGCGCGTCCTCTAGTCTGCGTTTCCTTCGAAAAAAACGCTTATTTCGATGTCTGGAACGTTGTCTAGCTCCTTTTCTCCTCGCCTTCGCGGAGGGGCCGCCCTTATGGTGAACACGCAATCGCGAGAAAAAACCGCCGCTTTTTCCGCTTTCTTCTGCTGAACGTTTCTTTTCTTCCTTTCTTGGTGACATCTCTGTGCTCCTTCTTCCTGTCGCCTCCCCAAAAGCATGTGCACCTTCGTTTGTTTTGCTGCGTCGTTGCCTGCGTGAACGTTTCTGTTGCTGCTGATGCTTCGGCGGCTGCCCAGGAGTGCGCGTGCTGTGCATGCGCAGGTCATAGTAAGGCGGCAGCAGCAGAGCGACTTCCCTTGGCGCCGTCTGCCAATAAATTTCTCTGCAGCGACAAAGGGCAAGTCCTTCTTCACCGAAGAGGAGGACACCTTCATCCTCAACCTCACCACGCTCCTTGGTAGGCTCCACCCGACTCCTGCAGCTGCTTGCCTTATGGGCTGCATGCTGCTGCGCATGCCCTTTCCGCTGTGGCTGCTCACCGCGTGCGCGTTTATCCGAGAGTTTCGCGGTGCTGCTGCTGTATCTACTACTGCTGCTGCTGCATCCACTACTACTGCTGCTGCTTCTGCGTCTACTACTGCTGCTGCTGCTGCTGCTGCTGCATCTACTGCTGCACGGCTCTATCCTGTGGAGCCTACTGCCACTCCTGTGCTTTTGATGGCCTTGTGCTGTTTGCTGTGCTTGTGCTGTTTGCTGTGCTTTCCGCGTCGTGTAACGTAAGGATACGGAAATTGGGAGAAACTGCGCAGCCAGGTGGGTGCATATTCGCAGTTTGGCATCCTGGAGGGCAAGGAAGAACGAGCCGTCCAAGGCTTCTCTTGTTTGTTAATGTGCTTCCCCCATGAGGCCCAGCTGCCCGCTGTTTGGTGCGCTGCAGATTCTACGAGACGGCACCTGGCGATTTGACTGGTTCTTTCGTTCGAGAGCCGCGGCAGACTTGGGGAGAAGGGCTGAGTCCATCATCAGGCAGCTCAAGAAAGAAGAGGTGCTGCTCTCGCTCGTTCACCTACATACTCCTCGTCTTTCCTATCCTGCTACTGGCCCGCACTGTTGTTGTCGCTGCTGCTGGCGGGCGGCTTCCCAGTACTCTGTCTCCTGCTGCCACTGCTACCGACCAACACTGCTAAATGCTCCTCGCAGATCGGCTGCCGCTGCTCTGTGTCGGGTGCTGATTTTTGCGTTCTCGCACGGCGGGAGCTGCTTTTCCTCCGTGGCTTCCAGTTGAAGTCAGCGGAGTTACTGCAGGAAGGACATGCTGAAGCCACTGCAGCTTGTGTTGTCACATGCAGCGCAGACTGCAGACTTTCCACTTGTCTGCGGTGTGTCAAGGGCTGCGGGTTTACGAGTCTTGCTTGCTCTTGTGCAGGGTGAACGCTTCTCCAGAGGCCGTCGCCGCTTGGACATGCCAGCAACAAAACAGCCGTCCCCTGCAGCTCCAGCGACGACTTCGCCTTCGGCAGCAGACGGCTCGTGTAGCGGGGGCAGCGCTCTCAACGGCTTAGCCACACCCGCGTGTCCAACAGTTGTCGCTTCAGCTGCCGCTGTTGGAACCGCACCAGCAGCTCTGGAGGACTCCCTAAGCGACCCTGGGCAGTTTCACTCTCTGCCCTCAGCGGATGATCTGGAAGCGAAGCGGCGACGGTTGCTGGTGTCTGGACCTTAGGTGCAGCAGCAGCAGCTGCTGCTGCAGTACAAGCGCGTACAGCTGTTGCTACTGCTACACCGCCCTCCCCTCTGCTGACGGCTGCGTAGGCAACTGCTAGGCTGTTTCCGGCTGTCGCCTCCTAGCGTAACTGCGACACCTTAGAACTGCAGTTCTTTGAGTGCACCATCTGGCCCTAGCGCGGCCAGTGCTCTTTCGTTTTATCCCTTTAGCTAAAGGTGGCAAATGCCAAACCAAGTAACCGCATGTTGTGCTGGTGGTAGTGGTGTTTCGCTGGTGCACTAAGCCAAAAAAGGGAATAAAGCCTTAATGGGGTTTGCTACATAGAGAAGAAATAGCGCGCTACAAAGCTCTGGAGCCTCCCATCAGCTCTATGGTGGAGGTTTCTCCAGCAATGTGGGGGAGGATTGGTGCCGCGAGCCACTGGCGTCTGCAAGAGGCTATATCGGCTCGCCTCTTCTGCCAGTGCATTCTTATGCGCTCGTTGGCCTATGTCGGTGCTGCAATGGGTAGGAGCTCCCCGGCAACGTGTGTCAGCCATAGGCGAACATGCACTGTTGCCGTTGGTCATCAACGTTCCTCGCGACGTAACCTTCTACACAATCGCACAGAATCTTCCCGTTGCGCTCTGAGCAGAAGCCGGGGCGGCAGTCCTGGGGTCCACAGACTGGCTGCGCTGAGTTGCTGGGAGCTGCAGTGTCTGGAAGTACGACGACCACGCACGCCTTCTTTTCTAGGCTGTAAGTGCCCTCGATGCATTTGCAGTAAGACCCTTTGGGGCTGTCCACGCACTTCATGTTGGAGGGGCAGCTCCCTTGCTTGTCACTGCAGGTGCATGCCCCAAAGGAGTACGCGTTCGAAATGCCACTGCAGTTGTCGGAGCAAACCCGTCCGTCCGCGTCGCTCGGCACACAGCATAAGTCGCTGGAACAGTAAACGTTGCGCTGCACGTCGTCTGCCAGGAGCGCCCACCCGCAGCTCTCATTCAAGCCGTGAAGAATACAGGGCTTAAGGGAGTGCGGCAAATCCTCGAAGGCCACAGCGGTCTCTGCTGCCGCAACTGCGGAATACGTGGGATCCGCCTTGCATTCCCCCGCAGAGCTTTTGACATACCCGTCGTCGCACTCGCAGTAGGGGCCTTGCACGGAGTCCAAGCAGGTCGAGTTCACTGGGCAGTTGTTGCCGTAGAACTTGCAGTTGCACTTGCCCCCTCCGAAGGCAGTTTTGTCATCGTCCATGCTCTGCTTGCTGCATTCGTAGCGCACGGGGACGCCGAACTTCAGGGCACAGCGGGGGTAGTCCTCCGGACAGAAGAGTCCGTCTGGATGCAAGAGATCATCCGGAGTCTCCCCACATAGTCCTCCCGGTGTACTTAGGTAGCAAGGCCTCATATTCGGGTGGGTATTCTCAATGTCAAAAATGCTGTCCTGGACGCTTTTCTGCAGCAGTGCGCTGGCGGGTGAGGGAGCGGCGGGCAGAGTCACCTCGGGAGCACTGGGCTGGCTTTCGGGGGACAAATACATGGGGGAAGAGAACGCCCCTGTGGGTACGGCTGCAAACAGCGCAAATCCCAGCATGGCGAGGGGCCCTCCGCTGTGGTCGCTTGCGGGCAGAGGACGCATGGCGAAGCCGGTGTGCCCTTACAGACACCAGCAGACGTTCCCCTTCCAGCGAACGGAGGCAGGACACCACTGCATGCAAGCCGCCACTGTTTCTCAAGGGTACCAGCAGCAAAAGTTGTTGAGGCCAGAGGTACAGGGGGGCTGAGGGAAAGAGGGCTCTCTCCCCAGCTCCTCCACCACGTGATTCTGAGATATGAGCACACTGAAGTCTAAAATGAGACCGGAGAGGCCGCGGGAGAGCCAGGAAGTAGTGCTATCTCGACTTGTGGCTAGTTCTCAGGGAGCGCGGGGGGGAGGGGAGTGTGGACAGAGCAAGCTTTTCTGCCGGGAGAGGTTTAAAATACTCCGAATAATTGCTCGTTGAGAGGAATAAATTTTTTTTGCAGCAGCAACCGCAAAAAATTTCCTTACGAGGCCGGCCGATGCACGCGAATCGAAGGGCCCCCTCTGGCGCCTTAGGGGCACACTGAAAGGGGCTGCAGAATGGAAGAAACCCGCCAGTCAAAACCAGTTTCCTGACGAGATAGACTGTATTTTGTCATTTACACCGTCTTTAGGCTGCTGTGCATTCTGTGCTGGTGCTGTCCTGATTTCAAGCGGAATCTTGCTTGGCGGGATCGACACCTGACCACCTGCTAGCCCCCATGCTGAGTTTCTGGTCCGTCTTCCTGACTCGTCGCCTGTTTGCCGTCTTGTATCTTTTGTCAGGTAGCGAACCCGCCCTTTGCCTCTGTCGGTAGGAATCTTGAGACCTTTCCTGTGTCCTCTGGCTACAGAGCTCACGCGCGGTGATTTCTTGCACCTGTCGTCCTGTCGGTCCAGGGTTTGCTCCGCTACCGTTTTTGTCTCTTGCCTTTGCTACCAGATCATCCGCTGCAGTGCGTTGCTGACTTTGGCAATACCTGGTCCCGGCAATACCTTGCGACCTCCGTTCACTCATGGCAGCGCCTGACTGCAACACTTCCAGGGCCAGGAAGAGCCCATTGGTAGATGATTCTAGAGCTCTTCACTACCAGTGTGTTGTGCTCCTGCTTGCTCTGAAGACTATACGCTAACACGGAACGTGCTCAAATGAAGCCTTGAGGCATCGTCTGGGCTTCCCCAACGACTGACGGCGCCATCCTGTGGGGCACCCTACGCTTGGCGCCGTTTGTCAAAATGAGCACTTTGCGCCGTACCCATTGCGGCAACTTCATGCAAATACGACGGATTCGTCTACTGGGAGAAACGACTTCTGGGTACTCGATACGTTCAAGAAGTGCTGCAGTGTTGCACCGGTTGCGACAGATGTACTGGCTACTGGCATTAGATGCCTACCACTGCACGCCTTCAACTACACGCAGCAACTAGAGGAGGAGCTGAAAAAAAGGCCCTGCCTGCAAAGCTGACAGACAGGCTACCCACTTCTCACGGGTGTTGTGCCGGCTGTAAACTTGGAGGCATCAGGCCCTGTTACAAGCCATAGAGGTCCAAAAAGCCCTAAACACCAAAAGTGTAAAAAACTGCCTTAAGGTTCTAGACCTAAAGCCATAAGCTCTAGAAGTGTGCGGAAGTGCTAAAATGTGCGGATTGCAGGACAGAGCGGTCACACGCAGAACGGGTGCTTTCCTATCTAGTAGTGGTGCTCACACAAACAGGAAACGGCAAGGCCCTGAAAGAAGGGATATAGCGCTGGAGACAGAGTTAGCGAGAGGGAAGCAGATGGGGGGGGAAGGAGAATAGGTGACAAAAATAGTCGAAAGGCAACCGTAGTACAAAGAAGCGGCTGAAATCTTAAGCAGGCAGCTTCTTAATGCGGCGATAATGCTGTAGACGATCAGTCTCCGTTAGGCGAACTCGGCATCACTCGAGTGGACATTGCGAGGGCCCCAAGGTAAAGCCTTTTCCCGAGAAGTTGACTTTCTGATTTCTGCGAGCGAGATAGACCTTGGTGAAAAACAGGCGACGGGAGAATCACAGGTCCAGCGCTATTCAGGGAGGATGGCCTAAAGACTCAAAGGTACTAAAGTATGGTAGGCACGGGCAGCAGATCAAATGGTTGTTGGCTCTTTGCAGTCTGCGGAAGCAAGAGCTAGAGTAGAATTGGTGAACGCAGAGCCGCAGTGACATCAAATTTTGCTGCTGTTGCCTCTCTTGCCTCGGTAGTTGAACTGGCATGTTCCGTTTTAAGGCCTCCGGCTCCTTGTTGCAGAGAAAAGCTGCGTGATGTACCGAAGAGTAACGACCACTGTCGACGGCAGCAGCAACACCTGTCTCAATATCATCAGCCACACAGAAGAGCTGTAGCTTCAGCGTCAGCAGAACTGTAGCTGTTACACGAAAACAAGTTTCGATAGAGGACCCCTGGGGTATCAACGCTTTGTGCTGCCTCGAATTCTGCACGGTGCAGCCTTCTGGCATTGCCCCTCTTCGCTATCGTTGCCTTCTGTTAATGGAAAAATATTGAAGGGCTGAGATTCGTAGCATCTTGTGCAGTGTCTTGGCCAGCGTCTATACAGCTAGGCCGATATTTGTTGACACAGTCCGCGAGAGGTTCCTGCACAATGATAACGAGCGCCTTTAGGCCACGACGCATATACACCATCGTGTTTCGCAGACAACAGAAATTCTGGAGCATCCCTAAACGGCAGTTACTACGGATCAACTCTCTTGCTTTCTTTGACACAGGCTTCCCTTGCGTTACCGTACTTTCCGTGTCCCCTGAAAGGGTACATGTTTAGCTCAAATTACCAGTCGCCAGAATTTTCTCAAGCGATTTACGATTTGTCCTAGCTCATGAGAAGGCTCTGATGTGTTTACGTGATGCCTAATGACCAAAACCGCGAGATGCTCCAGCCACCTGGTGTAAAAATTGCTCAGCCTGACTGCCGACAGTAAGGCCATGGCTCGAGTATTCTTTCTAGCAAGCTGCTGCAGCACATCTTGAAATGATCCCGAATTAGTGTTTGAAGTGTTGTGTCAGCAATAAGTTATGGGCCATAGGCACAGGGTGCTGCAATGAAACTGTTGCGGGCGCACCAGTGGAGATCCATAAGTGTGAGAGAAGAAAAGCGAAGGACCTGACACATTGGATGTGGGATAGGCTCAAACCTTTTTTTTGCTTTCAGTCGCGTTCTGTGATTTGTTCGCGCTGTTTTGTCAGTCCACAAGATAGAGCATTGGCTGCATAGCTCCCCGCTTGGACCAGCCCGCAGTTGCACAAGCAGACATCCACGCAGATAAATGCACAGTCGATTTCATGCAGTCCCGCTGATCCGCTTTGCAGATGCGCAATAGCCTGAGATTCGGGGTTTAGACTCTTTGTTTCGCGTAAGTAAAGGGAGGGTGGCGCTGCGCCATCATAGCTTAGTGGTAGAGCATCGGTCTTGTAAACCGAAGGTCGTGGGTTCGATTCCCATTGGTGGCTTTGCTGGCTCTCCCTATCCTTCGTCTACCGAATCTCCGGAATGCCACTTGCATTCGACGCGGTGGAGGCGCTTCAGAAGTGAACAACCTGCGCCCGAGGGGTTTTACGTGCATTAATTCTGTGCGTCGATATTGTACTCCGTAGATGCGTTGCCGTGGGTGGGAGTTGAGAATAGGAGGGACTTCTTGAACCCCTCAGGAGACGCCGTGCCCATCGTGACATCGGCATCACAGTGAGATTCCTCGTATCGGGGTGGCCGCTATGCAGATAAACCAGAGACAAAGGCAGAACCCTAAGAATTTCGATTGGGCTGGTTCCCTATCTCCCCCTGTGGCAGGCCCTCTTGATTTCTTGGGGAGCTTTGAGATAAGCGCTTAGAGCCAAGCCAGCAGGCTATGCGCAGCCAAAAGGACATAAATACAGACTGGCATGGAGCTGCCTCTGCACGTGCTGCTGGCTGCTGCTCGCACTGCTGCAGCTTTAAAACGCAGCAGCAACACTGTCAGTGGCAGCAGCTGGCACTAAAACCGCTCTGCGGTTCGACGCCGACATACCCGGCTACTCAAGTGCACACTAAAAGCAGCCAAGCGACAGACTGGTGTGTGTGTCTGCAATTGTAGCTGCGAATCCTCGGAGCCAGCTACTGCATGCACTGCTCGTGGGGTCGTCCACGAGCTTGCTAGCAGGATGCCCGGCTTAGCAGCAAGAGCACCATTGCATTCATCGATAAAAAGTACAGCAAGGCCATCACGCGTGCAAAGCCGCTCGCGAGAAGCAGACGAAGCAACGACCTGCAGCAGAGCCACAGGCAGGCGGGGGGTAAGAGCAGCAGCCTCGATGAAGACGCCTCTTGGGAACACACCCGTGGAGCTATACTACCAAGGTGTTTCCCCAAGCAACTGCGCAGACTTCCAGAGCCACGCTGCAGTCGTGGTAGCTGCAGAAGACGCAACGCCCACCTGACAGGCGCATCCACGCGCGTTGCCAACTTCCTGCTGCTGCTTGCTGCGGTGCCTCGCGTTGCGGCGTCTTGCCTCTGCGCTTTCTTCCGAGGCACGCACTCACCTGCAGCAGCCAAAACCCCAGCAACCCCACAACAGCCACTACCAGACACGAAGGGTGAGTTCGTCTGCCGCATCGGCTTCCTGGGTGTCAACGACGGCAGCGCTACAAGCCTACCCGAGGGAGCCTCTACAGCCGCCACTGCCATCTCAATATCAGCCCCGCCTTCCAGTTGCTGCTTTTGCTGCAGCTGTTGCAGCTGCATGCGGAGCACATTGCGTTCGCTGGTGACTGCAGCAATGTGCTGCTCGTGTGCCGCTGCCTGACGCCGCCAGTAGGCCTCTGCTCGACGGGCTTCCCCAAGCGCGACTGGCTGCTGCTGTTGCTGCCCTTCCAATTCTTGTTGTAGCTGCTGCACCTGGTGTGTCTGCATGCGCACAGGCAGTCGAAATCCGCGCAAACCCTGCAGCGCTCCCTGCTGCTGCTGCTCACACTTCAGCCGCTCGTTTAGCGGATCTCCTTACCATCTGCTTGTTTGCCTCTTCCACCTCTTGTTGGTCCCTAAGAGCGCCCTCGAGCTGCTGGTGCAGCTGCTGCACCGCAGCAGCTGAGGCAGCAGCACTCTCACGAGCCTCGCTGCAAGTGCCACAAAGAACGAAGGCGCGGAGCAGAATGCAGGGATGCTCCTTGCTACTGCTTCAGCTCCAGCCAGCCTCAGCTACGGCACCAGCAGACCAGCTTATCTTACCCCAGAGCTTCCTCAAGAGCTGCCAGTTGCTTTTGTGCCGCAGCCGCGGCTGCAGCATTGCCGCTGCTTTTGCGCAGTTCTTCTTGCCGCAGTATCAGCTCCCGAGACAGCTAAAGGCAGCCGCGAAACACTCAGCAGAAGGGGGAGAGTGGGAGGCAGCAGAAGAAGCACATGTTTCAGCAAGGCGAGCAACTAGAAGAGGATGGGGAGGCAACAGCGCAACTTGCCTCTCCCAGCTGCTGCTTTAAAGCATCCACTTCAGCTTGCTGCTGCTGCTGCTGTTGGTCGTCGCGCTGCTTCCTCTCTGCGTCTGCTACTGCCCGCTGCTGCAGCGCTCGCCCCTCTGCCTGTGCCGCAGCAGCTGCTGCAGCACAAGCCTCACGCTGCTCTGTCTCCTGCAGAAGCACCACAGTAGCATCTGCTGGATTTGCAGGATCGCCAGCAGCAGCGCTTCAGTGGCAGCAGCTAAACAAAGACGCTCTGCTCCGTAATAGGTGCGGACGTGAGAGACATACACGTTGTAAGGCTTCCTGAGTTGCCAGCAGCTGCTGCTGTAGCTCGGCTACATGGGCTTCCCACTGCTGCAGCAGCAGCTGCTGCTGCCGCTGCTCCTCCATGAGTCTGGTAGACTTGGCAGTAGCCTCTTCTAAAGCCCCCCTGAACGCATGCAGCAGCTCGGCTGGTCTGATGCCCTTGAAAGGGAGAAAAAGACGGGAATGTGGCGTAGTGGCAGCAGAAGTGCCACCCCCAAAATGCATCCTGGGGAGCAAGCCTACGTTGTGGCAGCAAACTGATCCTGCAAATCTTGATGGTCGTGCTGCAGCTCCTGCAGTTGCCTCTGAGCCGCCTCGAGCGAAGCCTTGGCCACCTGCAGCAGCAGCAGCAGCAGCAGCTAGAACGGCTGTGGAAGGGCTGCCTGCGCTTCCCTCCACTGCTCCAACGACCAACGGATTTCACGAGCAGCAGTATCAAACTGCTGTCTGAAACAAAGGGTATACATCTGCAGGAGCTCCCTCTGTGTTGCCGCTTGCCTCTTGCTGCTGCTGCACTTGCGCTTGCTGCAGCTGCAGCTGCTGCTGGAGAGCGCAGACTTCCTGCGGCAGCAGCATGCGCGAGAGCACACGAAGGCATGCGTCTGTACCGCCGCTTTCGGCGCTAAAAGCGCAGAGCAGCCACACTATCTAGCACGTTGCCACCTTCTTACACAGCCGAAGCTTATTTCTGAACAGACACACAGAAGAATGCGGAGACGTGAGGTCAGCAGTTGCAGCAGCAGCTGCAGCATTGCACACCTGCTGCAACCGCGCCACTGCGAGGGAGTGCTGCTGCTGCTGCTTCTGCATTTCCTGCATGTGGAGCTCTCGCTGTTGCTGCAACGCCGCTGCAGCCTGCTGACTCAGCGTCTCCTCGCGACGCTGCAGCAGAAGCAGCTGCTGCTCGTGCTGCTGCTGTTGCTGCTGCTGCGCAGCCGCAAACGCCTCTTGCTGCTGCTGGAGCTGCTGCAGCAGCAGCCGCGCCTCAAGGGCAGCTGCTGCAGCAGATCCTCCTCCCTCTGCCGCGCATGCAGAACCGCGGCTTTTTGGCTTCTTCATGCAATCCAGTAGCAGCAGCTGCTGCTCGAGGCAGTCACTGCCTTGTGTCTGGCTGCTGCTCGTCGCGCTCGTAAGCCCCCACAGCATACCCCCTGCGCTTCCAGACGCTTCTCTTTCTGAGCTAGCTGCTGATGCTGATGACGCTACTGCAGTCGGTGCTGCCGCTGTCGAACCTAACGCATTCCCTGCTGCTGCTGCTGCTGCTGGTGAACATTGGGAAGCCATGGTGACATCGAAGCGAGCCAGGGAGGCGGCGAACGTCTCCGTCAAACTCGCATTCTTAAGCGCCTCCAACTGCTGCTCTTGCTGCAGATGCTCTTGCTGCAGATGCTCTTGCTGCAGATGCTCTTGCTGCTGATGCTCTTGCTGCTGATGCTCTTGCTGCTGATGCTCTTGCTGATGATGCTCTTGCTGCTGATGCTCTTGCTGATGATGCTCTTGCTGCTGATGCTCGCTGACGCGAAATCTTGCGGCTTCTCCGGCCGGTGCTGCGGAGGACTCTTCGATGGGGACGCTGCTGCTGCTGCTGCTGTTGTTGTTGCTGTTGTTGATGCTGTTGTTGTTGCTGCTGCTGCTGTTGTTGCTGCTATTTTGACTGCGTGTATTGCTTACGCCCCCCACTGAGTCGCTACTCTCCGTAGTCCGCTGCACTGGCAGCGCAGCAAGAGCATCCGCTGCAGCCGCTGCCACTGTCCCTTCTACTGCAGCAGCAGCAGCAGCAGCAGCAGCAGCAGCAGCATCTGCCTCCAAAGAACTGAACTTGAGCCTCGGTTCCCCTTCCCACTGCTTCTGCTGCTGCGGCTGCTGGGCAGGGTTGCTGTCGTCGCGGGTAAATGCGTTATTGGCGTTTTCACGCGGAGTCTCTTGGTGGACGGCGTGCTGTTTCTGCAGCTGCAGATCCTCCTCTGCGTCCTCTTCGAACAGTTCCTGCTGCAGCGCGTTCAACGTCGTCTTGAGCATACCCACACCCCACATCACCTCTGCACCACAGGGGATGCCACAACAACAGCACGCAAAACAGCAGTCGAAGCAGCAGTCAAAGCTGAGGGCTAAGCAGCAGCCTCTTGGGGATTCCACAGCAATATACAAAAGGCACACTGCAGCAGCGACGGCAGCGGCTGCCACTCCGCTTTTTCACTCACTGTCGGATGCAGCCGCACGGTTCTGCGCGCTGATTGCGGCTGCTGCTGCTGCATTTCTCGCTGCTGCAGCTGCGGCTGCAGCAGCGAGACTCAAGCGTCCCCCCAATAGGCTGTTGGTGCCGCTGCGAGCAGCGCATGCGCTGGCATCCTCAGCTTCCCCCGATGCGGTTGCTGCGTTTTCTTCGCCTGCTGCAGCGCCTCGTTGCATCGTGGCGCCTTGAGAATCCTCCCTAGGGCTAACCATAAGGACTGCCACTGCTGCGACTGCTTGTGCTGTGCCTGCACAAGGCTGTTGGAGCTGCTGCTGCACTCTTTCCTTCGGCTTGTCAGGGCTGCAAGTGCTGCTGCAAGTGCTGCTGTGCAAGGGCAAGGCTGCTGGCTGCCACTCCACTGCGATGCTCCTTCCCCTGCCGCTGATGGCGCTGCGGAAGCGCGTTGGTTCTACCCTAGCGCACGCTGAAGCCCTCTTAACAACCGGCGCGGCACTGATCCAGGGGCCTCACACCCTTCATACCATGGGAAACATGGCTCAACTGCCACTTGAAAGCAGGAAAGAAAAGCCTACCCACTGTTGCTCCTGCTGGCATCCATCCTCATGATCCTTCAGGTTGACTTGCTGAGCTGCTGCGGCAACAGCCGCTACCATTGAGGATACCGCGGCGGCGACGCAGTGCTGCGCGATGCACCTCCAGTTGAGTCCTTAGTGTTTTTTTCTGCAAGTTGGACAGAAATAAAGGAGCGGGCTGCAATGTTTGCCGTAGCAGCTGCCACCCCTGTCTGCCGTTGCACAAGCTGCATGCAGCCCGCGCAGTCTGGGGGATTCTGACACGAGCAGCAGCAGGAGCGGCACGATCTCGGCTGAACCGTCAAAAAGGATGGCGTTTTGGTTCCCCTTAATCTTTTTTGCTGCAGAAAGATCTCTTCCTGCTGCAGATCCTTCGCGGAAGCTGCGTCACTCGAGCAGCAGCGCGAGTGGCAGCTGACGAGCACGCCTGCCCGCTAGTTCCCTCACTTCTGCACATTTGATATGGCTGCCTGATCGTAGACCTGCGCGCTGCCTCTGGAGAGGGGCAGGGACGCAGCAACAGGTGAGAAACAGCAGCCCGTTCTGTTCGGTGGAAGTGTTTGTTGAGCGGGGTGACTGCGAAAGCGCTTCCGGCGGCAGCTGCGTGTGCAGCAGCCACAGCAAAACATCGCGCTCTGGCGTTCAAGAGCAACACTGCGGCTGTTTCAGCGGCAGCAGCCTTGGGAGGAGGAGGAGGAGCAGCTGCAATAACGCGTCTGGGTATTGCGCTGGTGTCGCTTTATCGAAAGGGATTTACAGACTGTCGGAGGACGCATACGCTTTGCCAGCCACGCGAACTTGAGCCGAGGACGAAATGAGACGTCGTGATCACAACAGCACGGCGTCTTGCCCGTATTGCACGGTAAGCCTGAGGCTGTTTTTGCTGAGGAGGACGCTGCACGAACGGCAGCCAGCCTGCGCTGCTCGCTGTGCAGCGGTCGATGCGGGGGAGCAGGAACTCTGCTGGGGAGCTGATTGACTTTGTTGTCGCGCGTGTTTGTGTTTGGTGCCTCCTTTTTATGGTGTCGCAACAGCTGAAGATGTTCTGCAAGGTGCATGTGGACGTCCACAAGCGGAGAGCCATGCAGATGCAGCAGCAAATGCAGCAGCAGCAGCAAGGGGGGGAAGGGAAGACTCTTGCCAAGATTTACGATACGTTTATTGGTGAGCAGCGTGAGGAGGGCTCTCCGGTAATTTTTTCGGCGCTGCTTGATGGACGTGGCTGTGCGAAGGAGCGGGGGCAGGGAAGGACGCGGTGTTTGCTTTCTCTTGCCGAGTGTATATATATATGTATATATATTGTGTATGTATGTGTGTATGTGTATATATATATGTGTTGTGTGTGTATGCATGCCTCGACGCCTTCTTGCTGCTGCGTGCTGCAGGAGAGCGCCTCAATCGCATGCGGCACAGACTAGAGGCACCTTCCACCAGCAAGGGTCTTTGGGGAGATGATCCAGCAGACGCTGTGGGGGGAGTTTCTGGATTGTCTGCCGCGGAGCAGACCCCTCCTGTTGCGGATATGACTTCTACAGGACCGTCGCCTCCAAGGGAAGACAAGAAGAAGCACAAGTATCTTTCGTGCCGCTGCTGGGGTGGTGTCTAGGAGTAAAGGGCAGAGAGGACGCCTCCTTCGTGTCGTATGGATTGCGTGTTTCCGCGAAACTATGTGCCTCGTGAACCTGTTACGGTGATTCGGGAAGGCCTCACACCGACAGCAACTTGCAGGTGCGGTGTCTGAGCGTGTATGTGCAGAACGAGCAAGAAGTCGAAGGACAAGAAGAAGAAGAAACAAAAGAAAATGAAAAAGAAGAAGTCTTCCAAGAAGAGGAAGCGGCACAGCAGCAGCAGCAGTAGTAGTGATAGCAGCAGTAGCAGCAGTAGCAGTGATTCAGACTCGGATAAGTAGGGCCCCCACGTAGTCTGCGTGCAAATAAATGCCTATGCATGTATATGCATATATATTATTTATGGGTGTCTATTCGCTGTCTTGGAGTGCAGAGGCGCTTCTGTCATCTGTGGCGGTACAAAATCCATGCTTCACGCTGTTGCTGATCCCGCTGCAGTTGTTACGGCTGCCATGGTTGCTGCTGTTGGCTCTATTTCTACTGCTGAGTTGCGGCGTAGCTGCTTTCTCATGGCTGCAGTTGTGCAGGTGCTGCCTCTTTTCTGCTGCAGCAATCGTAGTCCCTCTCGCCGTAGCCTCGACAGCGATGAGGAGGTAAATGGCTTTGGCTCACTCTGCTGGTTGCTGCTGCCTGCATGCGCTGTTTGTACCATCGGCACGTCGCATGCTGCAACACTTTCGGAATGTTTTAGGCCTGCTGATGTTGCAGGTGCTATTCGAGGGGGCTCGGCCTCCTAAGAAGTCTCGACACGACTGACGCTGGCTGTGTTTCGTGTACAGCGGCACGCGTCTGCTGCAGCGGTTTGCGGATGGTGAGGCAGCAAGGTGCGCTTTAGTTTTGCGGCATCCCCTGCTAGCCAGCGTTACCAGCTGCTCTGGAGGGGAGGGGGGGAAGGAGGGGGAGGACAGCGCAACGAAGGCGGCAGAATCGCGAGGGGATCGGGTGTGTCTCTTGAATCATTTTCCGCCACGGCGAGTGGTTTGTTGCAACAGCAGCGGTGACAGGTGATGCGGCGATTTAGGCAGACAGACGGCTGCAGCCATGCGGAATAGTTAGCTGCTGCAGCAGGCACTCTCCAGGGGCATAGGTTCATAAGCAGCAGCGGCAGCAATCGTTTGAGTAGCAGTAGAATTCATTTCTTGCGATTTTTACCCTTTTGGCATTTTATCCGAACGTTTATCAGAAGCCCTACAGAGGGAGCGTGAGCCTTTGCGGTTCTTTTATTGTGACGAGGGAAGCAGCTGCTGCCAGTGCAGGTGCAGTGCTGTTGGAACGCATGCGCAGGGCTTAGGGTTGCGCATACTGCGTGCGCCAAGCGCAGCGTGGTGCATGCGCAGCTTCCTACTGAAAGAAGCAAGCGCACGAGCAGACTTCGCAGGGTTTGCTCCCCCTACTGAGGCAGCCAGGCACCAGAGGTAGAGGCATGGTTGGGCTTAGTGTCAGTGTGAGCGCAGCGTAGTGGTGGTGACAACAGCATCTGAGTACTGTCATAAATAAGATGCTCAGTAAAGGGGCCGCTGTCGCAGCTGCCTCCGCTGCTGCAGGGTTTGCAGAGAGAGGAAGACACCGCACTGCCTTAGGCAGCGGCAGTAGCACTTCTTACAGGGGGCGGCAACTGGCTTGACCACTTCCCCCAAGGAGATAGTCAGCAGCTCTGGAAGGGAGTTGCATCTGCAGCAGCAGCAGTAATGGTGGTTATGGTAGGCAGTTGCATCTGTCTGTAGCAGCAGCAGTAGTGGTGGTTATGGTAGGCAGTTGCATCTGTCTGTAGCAGCAGCAGTCGTGACGAGTTGCATCTGCAGCTCCTGCTGGGCATAAGTGGGTAGAAGAAGTCAGCGGGGAAGCTATTTGGCCACTCAGTGTCTTGACGCAGCCTCGAAGAGGCGCACAACCCAGAGAAGGATTGAGGAGCAGAAGGGTATGCCATTCCTACTTGATACTGTTGGCATTTGCTCTTTGCGCTTTCCTGTCCGTCACGAAAGACGCCAGGAAGTGCGAAACGGTAGCGCCTCAAGGCGCAAGAATGCGCATGCAGGGTGGGCTGGCCTTTGGGGGCTGTGCATGCAAGAAGAAGAGGCAAGGAGCGAGCAGGCACTGCTGCAGTGGTACCGTCTGCTTCTCCCTCCGGAAATACCAGAGAGAACTGCAGTCTTCACGCCGCCCTGGTGGAGGCGCGAATGGCCTCTGGGGACGAGTAGAGCAGGAAATTTCTGTCTGCCACTGCATGCATGCACCTCTGGAAGTCGTCTGCCTGAAGCAGAAGGCAGGTTTTGCCGCAAGAGATTTGTGCGGCAGCGGCGTGACGCTGCATAAGCAGAAGACGAGGCAGCAGCGAAGTCGGAGCAGACGTGGCGGAGGCGGACCAGCACCCCCAAGAAGGGAGTTTTAAGTGGCGCTCTAAAGAAGAAAAAAGTATACCGGTGAATGTGTACTTCTGTTTTGAGACGCTTTGGGGTTAGAAGTCGCGAGACTGTCGGGGGAACGTTGCAGAGAGGCAGGGAGATCGCGCTTGAGGCTCACAGTTCGCCCGCCTTCCCCACGCCTCCTGCTGCAGCCCCGTAGCCAGGGCAAAAAGCAAAGGCATCTTCAAGGAAAGGCATTGTATTTTGATTGAAAACTCTGGCAATTTCCATTTCTTATTTTGCCGGAGCAGCGAATGCGCCGAAGGAGCCACCACGGCAGCCAATCTGCTGTCGCTGCTCCCTCAGTAGAAGGCGGCAGGGGCCCCTCCCTCACCAGCAGCCCGCTGCTGCTCCTTGCTCTTCTTGCTCTTCTTGCTCTTCTTGCTCTTCTTGCTGCTTCTTACTCTTCTTGCTGCTTTTAGCGAGTTGCTGCTGCGCCTCTCCTCTGGAACATACGCGGCGGCTCGAGCAGAGGCTCACTGCGCGAGGCTTGAGAGGCGATCCTTTGCCTCATGCATGCACTGCGGCGGGAAGGAAGCCTCCAGACTGCCTGCACCTTCGGGTGGCGTTGCCGCCACTGGGAACAAGAGGCAGCAGAAGGAAGCGCTGCAGCGGAACGGGCAGAAAAGTCGTGACAGCAGGCGAGAATGGTATCCGAGTTGGAACGGCAGGTGCAGCTGCAGCGCGGCTGCAGCAACACCACGACTATCCCCTCCAGCACAAGCCGCAGCAAGTGCAGAGGCGTGTCCTTTATGTACGATCCAAGGGATGCTGCCCTCGTAGACGCGCATGCAGTGCAGCAGAACGCAGAGGTCGCTCTGGAGGCGCTTCAGCGGCAGCAGCCGCTGCTGCAACTCTTCAGCTTCTTGTTCGCCCCTCCTTCTCAGCAGCAGCAGCAGCAGTCTGCGCTGCAGCTGGAGCGTCGGAAGGAGCAGCAGCAGCAGCTGCGTCTGTGCTGCGCTCTGCTGTCTCCCTTCTTTCTTCGACAGGAGGCGCATGCATGCATCGAGCACCTCCTCCGACAGCACCGGCTGCATGCATCGGATCCCGAGGCTCTCGTGCTGCTGGCGCTGCCTTTTCACGATACTTTGCTCTTTAGCCGTCTGCTGCTCCTGCTGCAGTTGAAGCCAAACTCGCCGTGGCTGCCGCTGCAGCAGCAGCAGCAGCAGCAGTGGGGCCGAGTTGTCACTCGGCAGCAGCTGCAGCGGCTGCTGCTTCAACAGAGGGGACTGTGGGAGAGCGTGGCTGCAGCTACCTCTGCATCCCTGCAGCCTCTGCAGCAGCAGCTTCTGCATTGCGGCGTAGAAGTTTCTGCAGATCTCGCTGCATCCTCCGCTGCTTTAGATGGACGCCTCCTGCATGGACCGCTGCTGAGGCTCTTCACATTCTTAGGCTCAGCTTTAGTGACTGCTGCGTCGACACTGCAGCAGCTGCGCCGCATTGCTCCTCCCCTTCTGCAGACAGTCTTCGCTGCTTCGCGAGGCAGCGGCTCCGCTGCCGCAGTGTATCCGGAGGTGCAGCAGCAGATGCAGCTGCTGCTTTGTCGCTTAGTCGTCAAGGCTCCTCTTCAGCAGCAAGCGCTGCTTCGTACTGTCAGCTGTCTTCTGCAGCCTGTGTTGCATCAGCGGCAGCCTCATCTTCAGCTGCAACAGACAATGCAGGCTGTCGAGACTCTTCAGCTCATCGCGCTTCACCAACGTCAGCAGCTAGACGTCCTCCAGCGCGAGCAGCTGCTGCTTCTGTGCAAATGCAAAAGGCTGCGGGAGGCTGTGCAGCAGGTGAGAGTGGCTTTGTTGATGATGCTCTGCTCTCCTGCTGCTGCTGCTCTGCTCTCCTGCGTTCATTTGGTGCGAAACGTCTCTTGCGACGCATGGCGCATGCAACTCGAATGCTAAACCCGCTTCGCGACAACTCTGGGACTGTTTGTGTGTCTATTTCCTCCTGCTGCAGGTGCTCTCAAGTGGCTATACAGACCTTAGCGCCTTCCTAAGTCTGTTGTTTCGCTCGGCGCTGCAGCAGCTGCTGGTGGAATCGCGACAGCAGCAGCAGCAGCAGGAGCTGAGCTCCTTCGGCACGGAATTGCTGCGGCTGCTGCTGTCGCTCTGCGAAGTTCAGCAGCAACGGCAGCAACAGCAGCAGCAGCAGGGGGCACGAGCGTCCTCGCATGCAGTCTGCATTGCTCTAGCCATAATGGACGCTTTCAACGCTGCGGTTGCTGCGAGTTGCAGCGGAAGGCACCGGAAGAACACGAGTGATGCTGCACTTGCTGGCAGCACCAACAGCGAAGAAAGCGGCAGCACCAACGGCGAAGAAAGCAGCAGCCAAGTGTCAAAGCTGCCACCCTTGTACGTATCATTGCTTCGGCAGCTGCTGCACAATCTGGATTGCAGCAACCCTTTAGCGCTTCCTGCAGCGATGACATTGGCAGCGCAGCAGCAGCGGCGTCAAGAGGATCTTCTTCTGTTTCTGTCTGCTGCCTTTGAGGGGCTTACTTCCGCGTCTATGCCTGTACAGCTGCTGGCGGCAAAACAAGAGAGTGACACTGCCACTGGCGCCAACAGCGGTAGCAGTGTCACTCTCTTGTTTGCACTGACCTCGGAGGAAGCGTCGCTGCGTGCGCAGGCGGTTCGTGCTGCTGCGTCTTCCCTGCAGCAGCAGCAGCAGCAGCAGAATCTCCTTGCAACCGTGGATAAGCGAAGACGGCTTTTGGCATTCTTGCTGTTGCAACGGATAGCAGATGCCGATGTAGAGGTCGCTCTCGAGGTGAGGTGCTGTAGCGACATGCAGCGTCGTGATTCGCGTTGGATACATGCATGCATGCATGCAAAGGGAGGGGAAGGGAGATGGCAACTTGGGCTTTTTTGTTCTGCTCGTTCTCGCGCTGCTCTGGTGTGTTCGCGCGCATGCGTGCGTGGTTGCATGCGATAATTGCCGCGACGGCAAGGACTGCGGTGGGGAGAAGACACTTGTGCTTCCTGCATGGGTTGGTGGTGGTGACGGTGCTGTGCGCAGGCTGTGAAGGCGCTGCCGCTGCTGCGTCTGGCAGTTCCTCTCGAGCAGCAAGTTGCTGCTCTTGCAGCGAAGCTAAAACAGTTGCAAGAGCCGCTGCAGCACCTGCAGTTGGTCTCAGCTGCTCCGCGAAGAGGAGAGCCTTGCACCCTCGTACAGCACGTGGCTCTGCTGCTACACGAGCAGCAGCAGCAGCAGCAGCAGCTGTGCAGCCTGCTGCTGCAGCGGTTTGCTGCTCTCTTGAAAGAGGGGCGTGAGGCCTTAGCAATGTCAATCGCTCCTGCGGAGTCGCAATGCGATGCAGACATGCAGCAGCAGCAGCAGCAGCAGCAGCAGCTTTACATGCCTAAGGATAACGTGTGGCATTTGCAGCAGTACATTCGCGAGGCGCTTCCCCTGGCCGTCTGTCTCCACGCAGCTGCTGGCTGCCAGCTTCAGCAGCAACACGACGACGACGCATCAGAAGTCGAATCAGCGGGCTGCACTGCTGCCAACACCTCCGCTGCAATTGCAGAGGTGGGTGCTGCTGCGGAAATGTTTCTGGGGGAAGCAGCGGCGTTTTTGCTGGGGGAGGAAAGGGTGGCATCCAATCAAGATCCCCCCAAGTAAGCGCACTTCCTTGCCCCCGCTGCTCTTGTCGCTGCTCCTGCCTGCTTTCTGCCTCTTTGCTGCTCCTGTTGCTCTCGCTACTCGTGCTTCTCTCCGCGTTTTGCCATTGTGAGTCATCCTGGATGTTTTGACTTTCTTTGGCTTTTCTGCAGCACCGCGCCTTTTACGCGGTTGGCGTGGGAAGCCCTCTGCGCGCCTTGGAGTCGCGGAGCTTTCCGTGCAGCGTCAACCGCAGATGCCTTAGCAACGTCTCAGGCAGCGACAGCAGCAGAAGCAGCAACAGAAGCAGCAACAGAAGCAGCACCAGAAGCAGCACCGACAGATGCTTCTGTGCGTCCTTGGATTGTGTCAGCTGCCCTGCTTGAGGTGCTCGCGTTTCGCGCTGTCTCGCCTGCTGTTGCGGCAGCAGCAGAGGCAGGCAAGGATACAGGGGTGGTTGCAGCGGATGCAGCAGCAGCAGCATCAGCAAACAGCGTGCTGCTGCCCCCAGGAATTCCCCCTCAGCTGCTTGTGCAGGAGGCTGGACGCGTTTACGAGGCCATCTTAGTTGCAGAGCAGGAGACTCAGCAGCAGCAGCAGCAGCAGCAGCAGCAGCAGCAGCAGTGCGCGCGGCAAGGGCAGCCACTTTTCCTCACTGCTGTTGCGCGTGCGGCTGTGTCTTCTTTCTGCGAGCTTATGGCGTCAGCTCTGTTGCCACGTGAGGCAGCAGAAGTGACAGCAAAACTGAGAACTCAACAACAGCAGCCGCAGGAGCAGCAGCAGCTTGCGGCGCTGCACGGAGTGTTGCTTTTAGGACTGGCGGATGCTGAAGACTTTTCCGCTCCGCTGTCTCTGATCGTTTCCTCTTGTCTCGGGCAGCAACCCCTGTTGCTGCTCGCTCTCCTTGCCTCCGCAGCTGTGGTGGCTCACGACGCCTTGGGAAAAAGCAACAGGCGAGAGCAGCAGCAGTCGTTGGCTGGCTGTGAGCGCAAGCCGCTTCCAGCAGGCGAGCTGCAGTGTGAGCAGGAGCAGCCGAAGGGCTCTTTGCCCGTGCTGCTGCGGCTGGCTGTGCCTCTGCAGCAGCGGGAGGTGCTGGCTGATGTTTGCGTTGCAGCTCTGCAGCTGCAGCTGGAGGTGCTTGCGAATTTCGCAGCTTCCGCATCCGCTGCGGTGCTAGAGGCAGGACCTCTGCTTGCGGCGCAGTGGATCGTGCTCCTAACTTCGCCGCATGCAGGAGTGCGCGCTGCAGCTGCAGCGCTGCTGCAGCAGCTGAGGACGCTGCTGCTGGTGGCTGGCGCTCCTGCTCCCGCCGCTCCTGCTGCAGCTTCCTCCGAGAGCAGTGGGGGAAGGAGCAGCAGAAGCGGCAGCGAGAAGGAGGGGGTCGCAGTATCCTCCGAGGTGCTGGAGCTGCTGGAGCTGCTTGGACTGCTTTCCGCAGACTGGGCACAAGACAGTAGCTGCGAAGCCGTGAATGCGGTAAGCAGCAGACACCAGCGAGGTTCCCAGGTGGGGTTGCTGCCGCTGGCGAAGGGCGGGGGTATATGCGTGCCTGATGCTGGTGAAGAGGGAGGGTTAAGCTCTCTTTGTGTGTCTGCATGCATGCATGTGCTGTGTGCTGTGCTGGCGCTGCAGCGCGTGCGCGACGCGCGCGAAGATTTTGTCGCCTTTGCGACAGAGGTGCTCCTCTCACCAGTGCTGCCCACGAGGCCGCTGCAGCAGCTGCCTCTACAGCAGTTGGGAGAGTCGCCTTCTGAGAGAGCGGCAGCCTACTTCGCGCTGCTGCTGCTGCTGCTGCCGGAGCACCAGCAGCGGGCTGTCGCACCACTGCATCAGCTGTGGGGTCCTGAGGCGCTTCTGAAATTCCTGCTGCCGCTCGCGCGCGGTGTGCTGTTGCGCCTCGTCAGCGGCAGTCCTAGTGTCGATAATGGACGTGCCTCAGAAAGACGTGGTCGTCAGAAAGCAAAGGCGCCTCCAGCTAGAGCAGCAGCTGCTGGAGCAGCAGCGGCTGGAGCAGCTGGAGCAGCAGCCACACTGGACTCGAGCCTGCTGCAGCTTACGTGGCAGCAGCTACAGGTGTTAGCCGTGAGCGAAGCAGGGGCTGCGCAGCAGCGTGTGGGGATGTTTTTGAGCAGCAGCTTCGCTGAGTCGCTCGTCGCATGCGTCGCCGCTGCTGTAGAGCAGCAGCAGCAGCAGCAGCAGCAGCGCTTGGCGGGAGCAGAAGAAGACGAGGAGCATGTGAGGCCACATCTTCCCTCCGCCGTGCTGAATGCCATCAGTGCAGTGCTGTTGCATGTGCAGCAAGAAGCCTTTCAAGTGCTTCCCAAGCAGCGTCTGCTGCTGCTGCTGCGGCTTTCTACGCCAGCAGCGCACTGTCCAGCGCTTGCGGCAGTCTTGCGGAGCAGTGCTGTTGCAGCTGCAGCAGAGCTTAGCACGCCGCTTCCCACGCCGCAGCTTCGGGAGCTGGCAGATGAAATCGTGCGCTCTGGCAGGGGATTTGAGGCAGCAGCTCCCGGCCCTGCAACGCCTTTGCGTCGCTGCAGCAAGCGGCTAGCTGGAATCGAGGCAGGCGAAGAAGCCGCAGACAGCAGGAGCTGCTGCAGCGGAAGAGACGTCGTCTTGGCGGAAATCCTGGAGGACCTTCTGCTTCAGCAGCAGCAGCAGCACCAGCGCGTCCTCTTGCTGCTGCAGCAGCAAACTCCTTCGGCCATGCTGCAGCTGCAGCAGCACATCCTCGCGGCAGTAGAACGCACGCAGGCAGCAGCAGCAGCAGTTCCGGAGCCGCTTGCTGCCGTCGCTGTCGCTTCTGCACAGGCAAGGGCACGGCGCGTCTGTGCGCAGCTTTTCGCATGCTGCAGCCACCAATTCGCTGCCCTCAGGATCTGGCTTCGGATGACTAGCGACGACGGCGCGAAGGAGAAGCAGCTGCAGGAGAAGCAGCTGCAGCCAGTCCTCGGGCAGCTCGAGTCGAGATGTATCGCACTGGCAGAGCAAGCGGAGATCTTGCTGGATGCCGGAACCTGTGCTGCAGCTCTTCGATGCTGCAGTGCAGCGGCAGCGCTGCTCCTTGTGCATCAGCAGCATCAGCAGCAGCAGCGCTTGCTGGTACAGCTGCGGCGGTTGGTGCTGCAGCTGCTCTGCAGCTACTGCAGCAAGGATCCCCTGCTGCTGCTGCAGCGCTCGGCTTTGAGCGCCGTCTGCGCGGTGCTGCGTAGTGTGGGAGGGGAGCAGCAGCAGATGGCACAACCAGAGGAGAGTTTTGGAGGGCATGCCGCGTTTGCAGCCGAGGCAGCTGCGTGCTGCATTGGGCCGCTTGCCGCAGTTGCCTTTGCCACTGCAGCACAGCAGACGCTGCAGCAGAAGCACCGAGCTGCGGCTGCGCGGCAGCAGCTGCTGCCTCTTGCGCGCGCGCTCGCAGCAGCAGGAGGTCCTGCTGCCGTCGATGGCTGCATCTCCGCATTGCTGCTGCAGTGGGAATGTGCTCGCGCAGCGCATGCACGTGCAGCTCGCTTGCAGCAGACAGCCGATAGGGAGGCGACGGAGGAGGAGGCGGAAGATGTTGACAGTTGCAGCAAGCAGGGGAGTGACACTGCCGTGTGGGAAACGCGGGCGCATGCATTTGCTCGTCTGCAAGAGCTGCTGCTGCAGCACTTGGGGGAGCAGCTGCAGCAGCACCAGCAACTGCGACGAGCAGCGAATTTGTGCGGCTTCGCGCTGCTGCTGCAATGCCAATCCAAAGCGCTTGCTGATGCAACCGCCAAGGGTCTGCCTCAAGGCATTGAAGCTGCGCTAGGAGAGGCAGAGCGCTTTAGAGGCGCTGCTGCTGCAGTTGCTGCGGCGAGCCGCGTTTCGCAGCACAGCGCGCCGATGCTGCGCTGTACCTACACCCCATGTTACACTCTGTGGGTGTCTGAGCTGCATGCATCGCCGACCCATCCGCAAACAACCGCTGCGCTTGCAGGGGCAGCCGCTGCCACTGCAACGAGAGCTGCCATCAGCTGTGTAGCAGTTGCTGTCGAGGTGTTGAGACAGTGCTGCAGCGGCAGAAAGGAAGCTTTCGCCCTTAGTCCCGAGTTGCGTGCTGCAGTCGCTGCTGCAGTTCACATGCTTCTCGCCGTACGGGTAAGAGCGACTGAAGCTTTGCTGCACGTGCTAGTGCTGCTGACTGCGCTGGCGAGATTCGCACTCGCCAGCTCTCGCTTAGTACACTGGGCAAAGCGTCCCTCGGGGAACCTGCAGACAGATCATCTCTCCATGCAGCAGCTGCTGCTCAGGCTTCTACGTAGCAGTGACACCGGATGTGTATGTACATGTATTCATGTATGTATGTATATGTAAATGTATGTATATGTATATGTATGTATATGTATATGTATGTATATGTATATATATGTATATGTATGTATATGCATATGTATGTATATGTATATGCATGTACATGTATGTATATGTATGTATATGTATATGTATGTATATGTATGTATATGTATATGTATGTGTATGTATGTAAATGTATATGTATGTATATGTATGTATCTGTATGTGTGCATACGTATTTATGTATTTATGTATATGTATGTCGGTGCAGGCTCTGGCATTAAAGAAGCCCGCAGTGTCTTTGAGGGATGCCGCAATGCGCTTGCTGCTGCGGAGGCAGCAGTTACTTGTGGGCTGTGCAGATGCAGGCCTGGAGCTCATATTGAGGTGTGCATTTAAATTGAATTAGCAGCCGCTGCTAGTGCATTCGAGCTTGTCTAGCCGCATTCGTTGCAGCCACTGCTGCGCAGAGTCACGGCTAGCGGGGCAGTGGTGGCAGTGAATACACAGACTCTGGATGCTCCTCGTGTGCTTCTGCTGGTGCTGTGGCTCTAGGCGCTGCTCTGCCGAACTGGGATGTTTACGTCTCGCGATGGATGTGTTGGAGCCTCACTTGGGGAGTTGCGAAGAGATGGAGCTAGACGAAAGGCGTGCAGCGCCTTCTCTGAAGTCACCAGCGGAAGATACGCTTCTCCTGTCTCTACAGAGCGCAGAAGCTGCAGGGCTGCAGCGGCTGCTGCTGCTGCTGCAGCTTAAGGTGGCGCATGCAGCGAAGACGGCAGTCGAAGCGGAAGTTGTTGCATTAGAAGGACGGCGGCAGCACCAGAAGACTAAGCGGCAGCGCGCTGCTGTGGGTAGTGTCGTTGCCGTCGGGGGACGTGGTTGGGGAGTGAGTCTTGCCAGTGTTACTACTGCTGTTGCTGTTTGATGCTGCTATTCCTACTGCTGTTGCTGTTTTTACTGCTATTCCTACTGCTGTTGCTGTTTTTACTGCTATTCCTACTGCTGTTGCTGGTTGATGCTGCTGTTTTTACTGCTATTCCTACTGCTGTTGCTGGTTGATGCTGCTGTTTTTACTGCTATTCCTACTGCTGTTGCTGGTTGATCAGTGGGTGGTTTTTTTCTCGGTGTATGCGCCGCGTCGTAAAGCCTGTGCGAGGCTGCTGCTGGTGGAGCTTCTGTTCGCGTCTGCGCTGCAGGATGTACTACTGAATCCAGCTGTTAGCCGCGAAGAAATCACAAATGCGTATGACGGGTTCCTCCGTCTGCTGGTGGCCTGCTGTAGAAGCAGCAGCAGCAGCAGTAGTAGTAGCACCATGTCGGATGCAGCAGTCCCCTTGGTGCGTCAGCAGGCGTGGCGGTTGTTGTCTTCCTTAGCGGTGCTCTCTGCTGGTCATGTGCCTACACCTTTTGTGTCGCACGCGATGCCGCTGGTGCTGCAGTCTCTCTCTGCAGCAGCTGCTGCTCTCGCATTGCCAAAGGAGCAACGGCAGGAGACGGGGGTTCATCAGCAGCAGCATATGCTGCTTGAAGGGGTGATGGAAGGGTGTCGGTTGCTGGTAGCCGTGGGTTCGCGAGTGAAGCGCGGCCTCACTTGCCGCCTTAATGAGCTGTGTGCAGCCGTGATTGCGGCAACAAGGTCCATCACCACTGCAGCAGCCGCTGCTGCTGCTGGAGACAGCCTGCTCCTCGAGCGCATGCAGCAGGCTCTTCATGCGGCAGTCGCAGCCCTCATGTGCCTTTGCGGGAGGTATGGAGCTCTTCTGCTGTCTGGACAGCAGCAGCAACAGCAGGAGTCGCTGCAGGAGCAGCTGCTCCAGCACATACTCATGCAGCCTCAACTGTGTCTGCTGTTTGAACAGCAGCGTCCGGCTGCCCTTAGGGGGCTCTGTTTGGGGGATGCTTGCGACGCAGCAACTGCGTTTGACGGGCGGGCAAGAGAGCGGCTTCAACTGCAATTCTTAGGAATGCTGCAGCAGCAGCCAGAGCAGCACAGGGAGCCGCAGCAGCAGCCAGCAGATCAGCTGCATGCGCTTGCCCTGACGTTACTCTCTACAGCAAAACCCGCGGCATTGCTGCGAGCAGTTCTGCCGCAACTGCGTACAACGGGTGCGCGGCTCGCTACAGCCCTCAGCAGCAGCAGCAGCGACAGCAACTCTGGAGGCAGCGTGGGTGCCGCTTCGTTTGAGCTGTCGAGACAGCTGGAGCTGCTGGCCATGGCTGTCAGCTGTCTTCCGCTCACCGAAGCGCAGAAGCGGATCAACGCGTTGCAGCAACTCGCCCTTTTGTCTGTTCGGCTCGTCACCGGAGCCGCAGCAGCGCAGTTTGACCAGCAGCAGCTGCAGGAGGAGGAGCAGCAAGAGCAGGCGCAGGGGCATCAGGCAGAAAGAACCGCCATCGAGTTTTATGGAGGCCGCATCTACGAAACACACGTCGCTGCCGTATGGGGTGCGACTACTGCAGCAGCTCTGCGGAGGCGCAAGCAGGAGGACGCAGCAGCAGCAGCAGTGGCGGAAGCTCTGCAACTGCCCTTGCAGCGGTCATATGTGTGGAGAGTGGAGGCAGCTGCCGCGTCTCTCATTTGCAGCTGGTCGCTCAAACACGACATGCAGCAGGTGCGAGAGCTGCTGCAGCAGCTTCTGCAGTCTCTGCGGGGCACGCGCCCGCTGCTGCTGCAGCATGCACAGCGTCAGCAGCAGCAGGCAGTGGCAGTCAAGGCGCAAGAAGCGGCTGCCGCGAGAATGTATGGGCTGCTAGTTCTGCAGCTCCTCAAGGCCTTTGGAGAGACAGGCGCAGCTGAGGGGCTTCTTCAGGATGCCGCAGCAGACCTTGCCGCCGTTGTAGAAGCTGCAGCAGAGGCAAGCCAGCAGCATCGAAGCAGGCCAGGAGCGGCAGAAAGTCGCCGTTCCAAGCATGCCGTAAGCGCCATGGCTGGGCACTGCTGGCTGCTGCGGTAGCAAGCAAGGGGCTGGTGACAAGACTGGGAAGGGTTGCTTTCTTGTTGCTGCAGCTACTGCTGCTGGAGGAGGGAGAGCAGATGTTCTTTCCCGTAGAAGGGCCTTTTAGAGGGTTCCAAAGTGTATATCTATGTGTTTATGTGTGCGTATGCATGTATATATATATATGTATCTACACATGTGTGTTTATGTTTGTGTTTATATATGTGTTTATGTGTAAGTATATACATATGTATATATATATGTATATATATGTATATATATGTATATTTGCGTGTGTATATATGTATGTGCGTCGTTGCGCAGCGGAAGGAAGGCGCTGCAGCTGGCGGCAGCAGCAGCAGCAGTCGTACCAGCAGCAGTGCAGCATTACACTGGTGGGTTTTTGAAGCAAGCTGCCCAGCTCTCGCTGCTCTAGGAGAAGGCCTTCGCCACTGGAATACGAAAGAGAGTGGTATGCGCGTGTAGCTGCTGCAGTGTGTGCTTGCTGCTGCAGCCGCTGCTGCTGCGTGGAAGGGGGAGAGGGGGAAGGGAAGCTTTTCTGCGCGCAGGGTCGTTTTGGTGCTGCAAGGCATATGGTGGCAACGTGTCTTGCTGTTGCTGTGTGTGCTCTGCAGGAGAGCTGCCTGAGCAAGTAGTGACGGCAGCAGCGGCTGCGCTGACAGACGGCCTGCGCTGCCTCGCACGCTGGCGCTGCCTTCCAGATACTCTTGCTGATGCGCAAAGCGCTGCAGTCATGGGTGCTACAATTAGAGCAGCAGCAGCAGGCGGTAGCAGCGGCAAAGGATGCATGCTGACTCCGCTGCTATGGTTTGACCTTCTTGTTCGCATTGCCGTGCCCCTCTTTGAGCAGTCTTTCGACAATCCGCAACGTGTACGCTCACATCCGCGAGGGAACTTGCCGGGGAACTGCAGTTATTGCTGCTGCTTCTGCTTCTGCTGCTGCTGCTTCTGCTGTTGCTGCTGCTACTTCTGCTATTGCTGCTGCTGCTTCTGCTGCTTCTGCTGCCTTGAAGATGTGCTTGGTGGCTGCCAAGCGCTTTTGTACAAACTGCTGCTGCACCTTTTAAGGGTGGCAGCGCTAGTCTGTGCTCAATGGGAGTCTGCGCATTGCTCCCCCCGCTAGGGCCAGCAGCATGTCCTTCCTGCTGTAGGATTTTACGACATGATTTTGATGGCGCTGTGCATATGTCTATGTGTATCTGCACGTGTGTGTCTGTATCTGCACATATGTATGTGTGTGTCTGCATACATATTGTGTATCTGTGTGTCTGTATCTGCATATATATGTGTGTGTCTGCATACATGTTTGTGTATCTGTGTGTCTGTATCTGCACATATATATGTGTTCGTCTGCATACATATTGTGTATCTGTGTGTCTGTATCTGCATATATATGTGTGTGTCTGCATACATGTTGTGTATTCTACTGTGTGCAGTATCTGCGTATATGCATGTGTATCTGTGTTTGTGTGTTTTGCGCAGTTGAGCGAGCTCTGCGAGGCTCTTGTGCGTTGTGCTGAGGGAGCACATCCAAGTGTCTGCAGGGCTTTGGTGCTGTTGCTTATGCGGCTATGGACTTCTCACGGTGTCGCCTTCGTTGCCGCGGTGCCTCACTGCATGCAAGGACTATCTGAACTGTTAGAAACAGCCGAGGAGGATACGGAGGCGCTGCTCCTAAGATTGATTAGGGAAATCGAGGCTACTACCGGAATGACTCTCAGTGACAACCTTAAGGCCTAGAAAAAAAGTTTACTTCCTAGTTGCCTCTTGACTTGCCTGAACTGCTCCCCTCCCTTCAGGCCTTCTTCGGTTCATAGGCCTCGAAGTGTGGGCAGTTGAGTCTGCCCCCCTGATTGCAAGGAGTGGTGGTCGCAAGTGCGACCACCGCATGCAGTCAACTTCTCCCTCGCACCCCATGCAGTCAACTTCTCTGTCCTAGAGAACGCCTAGAATCCGTGGCTCGAAGGCATAGACCTCGCAGGGAGCTTATGAGGCTTCTGGCGGCTTCCTGGAGCCTCGGCAGGGCAAACTCACCGGCCGTTTAAAGGCAAAAAGTCTTCAATGAAGGGGCCTAATGGAAGGAAACCAGCGGACGCCAGCCTTTAGAGAAGGAGCTCTTTGAGGGAGCTCTACGGGGGGTCCTACGTCACGTAGCCGGGGAGCTTGCGATTCTGGTGCCAACCACTCGAAGCCTCTGGGCGTATGAGGCCCCTGAAATGAGTCTGGTGTCTCTTGGTGCGGTGCTGCTGCTGCTGTTGCTGCTGCTAGAGCTTGTGTTGCGGCTGCAGCTGCGGCTGCGGCATCCGCAGCGGCGTGGGCAGCGTTGACAGCAGCTGTGTCTGCCGCTGCTGCCGCTGCAGCTGCTGCCCTTGCGGCTTCTTGCTGGTCGCTGTAGTGCCTCTGCAGAACCTGCTGCGGCTGGATAAGGGGGGGCAGCCTGTGCTGCTGTCGCTGCTCGCGATCGAAGTACTGCTGCTGCGGCTGCAGCTGTAGGCTGCTCGCTTTCTGCAGAGCGTTCGCCGAGTGGGCAGCTCCAAAGTAGCTTGCATGCCGTAGGTGACCTATGGTGCTGCGTCTTTGCGGATGTTGGTGTTGTTGTTGCTGCTGAGAAGAAGCATCTTCCAGGCTGCATGACCACATTAGGCGTGACCGGCGTCTCATGAGGCTGAGCGAGAGGGGACTCTGCTCGAGTGTGCGATAGAGCAGAGGATCTTCTTCCCTTCCCAACGAGAGTTGCTCCGCTGACGACGACGACGACCGCGCCTCAAGGGCGTCTTCATAGTGTCCGCGTGACTGCTCCTCCTCCTCCTCATGCTGCTGCTGCTGCTGTCGCATTCTCTGCTCCTGGTGCCGCGGCTGCAGCGGCATCTGCTGCCTTTCCCGTTTCTCCAGAGGACGCTGGTGCGATGCGTCTAGCGCGCGTTCCCTTGACCCCACTTGTTGCTTCAGGATGTCGTAGGAAAGGGGCGTCTCCTTGCCAGACACCTCGGGGGGGTACTGCGGCTGCTGCTGAGGCAGCCGCTGCTGCTGTTTCGGCCGTGCGGTGTTCAGACTGTGCGACCACATCAAACGGGATTGACTGCGCAGGGCCTCTAGCTCGCCCGCTCGCTGCTCCAGAGTCTCCTCTAAGCCCCCATACTGCGTCTGTGGCTGCTGCTGCTGCCTTTCGTTGACTTGCCGCTGCCGATCCACCTGGGTAGCATGATGCTCTGCGGCGAGGAAACCTCCTCGACTTTGCGCTATTCTTGCGCGCCGCTTGTCTGCCCCTTGCTTTTCAATATCGGCAGGCGCATCCCAGCTGCTTCGGTGCAGCTGAATATGCGGCATTGTCGCTGCGTCCGGTAATAACACTGCTGTGGCTGTTGCTGCTGCTGTCGACAAGCACGACGGATGCCTCGACTCGCTGTCGCCTCACTCAACGGGAAGGCGTACTGCGTTGCTGCGCGTTAGAGGCTTCTTCCAATGCAAATCTTGCCGAATAAGCAGTAAACACTCACAATTTCAATGAAGCTCAGCGATTTGCCGGTGAGAAGGCGCTATAGTGGCAGCGCGACGGCAGCAGCAGCACAGGCATGCCCCAGCCAAGCAGCAGCCGCAGCATCGACAGGTGAAGATGTGTCCCCTGTGTCAACGAAGACGCTGCGAAAGCGAGGTCACTTTCTTGGCTAAATTCTAGTTTCCCAAGCTAATTGCCGCCACAAACCGTGGTTGTTAAGAGGTTTATTGCACCGTGCGTCCTTCTCGTGCTGCTTCCTCCTCAGCAGCAGCAGCACGCACGAAAGAACTTTCTTCTTGGCCCCATCGGATGCTCCGTCAACAAACCTTTGGGGGGGCGGGAGGAGGCAACAGCCTCTTCTGACGCTATTTTTACGTGCTCCTAGTGTCTGTTCTTACTTCTCTGAGACGCGCGCTGGACAAAAAAACAGCAATCAGCACATCAACTTTGTATGCCCTTCGCGGGGTGTTCAGCAGCTACCACCATTTCAGGGTATCTCAAGAGTTTCGCACCAACGGCAATAGCACAAACATCAGGAGCACAAACATTAGGAGCACAAACGGCAAGCAAGAGCAGCAACTGCAACTGCAGTACCAACGGCATTAGCAGTGGTAGCAAGCAAGTATATCTTTTAAGAGGCCAGCAGCGGCCGAGTCAGCTCCTACTGCTGCAGCATTAGAAGCCGTTGTGACACTCGAGCATGGAGGATTCGATATATGCAGACCTCATTGTTCCGAGGTGAGGCTGTAATATTCTGAACTGGGTAAAGGGCAGCCAACTTTGCTGTCTGCTGCTTGCTGTTGTCACCGAGTTTGCTGTTGCGCAAGACAGTAGCTGCTGCTGCTTCCCCTGCTGTTGCGGGGGAGGCCAAACACTGTGCTGTCTGAGTGTATGTGTGTATGTATGTGTATGTGTATGTATGTGTACGTGTATGTGTATGTATGTGTATGTATATGTATATGTGTATGTGTATGTGTATGTATGTGTATGTGTATGTGTGTATGTGTATGTATATGTATATGTGTATGTATATGTGTATGTATGTGTATGTGTATGTGCATGTTTGCTGCCTCCGCATGCTAGGTACAACCCCGAAGCCGTTTCCTCAGGAGGCGGAAGGGCAAGGAGGAAGCGGCGCATCAGCGCAGATGACACGGGCGAGCAGTCTGCAGAGCCGGCAGCAGCAGCTGCAGCGGAAGTGCACGACGAGGTAGAGCTCAGACAGCAACAAAGGTTAGGAGGTGCTGCCTCCATCGACCCTTTGACATGGGCAAGAAGTCTCTTTGGAGAGACTGAGGAGCCGCATGCTGCTGGCGATCGGCGAGGCGCATCTGCGACGTCGGGAAACGCCGATCTCTCGAAGACGGACAAGGACGCTGTCTATACACCCCATACCGTCGCCAGGAAGGGGAGCAGCAAACAGCAAGGCAGCGGCCATAGCTCAGCGATCCCGTCGTGTGCTGTTTCTCTAAGACTACAGATACCTAGATTCGTGTCGCAACAAAGTTGCACTCAGGTGAGGGAGGCAGCACTGGCCTCGCCATGCTGCAACGCACTCGCCGTTGGTGCGAGCGCTGCACTACGCTGCCCTCTCTGGCTGCTCACTGTCGTAGATTTGTGGGCGTGTTTGTGTGTGCGTGTACTTATGCACTGTGTAGTTATAGCTAGCTGTAGCTAGCTGTGTGCGTGTGTTTGTGTGTGTCGGTCTTCCCGTACCGCCTTCTTCCCCCTTTTCCCCCGTCGTTCGCCTCCTTCGAGTGGCGGACACACTCTGCTGCATCCTGCGCTTCCTCTTCTAGGATGCTGCGACGGCAGGTGTATTTTCTCCGCATCCGCTGTAGCTCTGTCGGTGCTTTGGAGCGTGCGATTCTGCTCATGCGCTGTGGGTGGGGTACTGCTGCAGGCTGCCTCCTTGTTGCGGTCACAGCGAAGCGCTTTGAAGGAAGATTACTTGTCAAAACACCGGGCAGCCGTCCGAGCGAAGCGTGCCGCCACATCGCACAGCTAAGCCGCAGGCGTTGCTCTTGCGAACTTTTCCAGGCACGCGTGTCTTCTGACAAGCAGGCAAGCAGGGAGGAGCTGCCGCAGCTGCCTGTGAAGAGCATCTTTGTGTCGCAGCGACAATAGGCGCTGGATGCGCCGCTGTGCACTGAAGGTAGCGTTCTCGTCTCGAAGAGAAAGCAGTGGTCATAACGCCATAAGACTTGTGAGATTCACGCTGCCAGTGTAGCTGAAGCGCTTGCCGCGTTATGCACCGTCAGCACTAGCTGCTGAGGCTCTCAAGCCTTTTAAAGGCATTTTTGGCTAGGATCCTGTCGAGGGGTTGCCCCCAAGTAGCTTTGCGCCGGCTCGTACATGCATGGCTAGAGAAAGATGTATGGGGTTGGCGTGCGTAGCCGGTAAGGCGACACCTGCTCATCTCCTACGACTTTCAGTACAGTTTTCTAACTGTTAGTGGAAGACAGGCTAATCGGCACACGTCTTCGTGTATCTTATTCATTGTAGACTACTGCTAGCTCGATGCAACAGGGCGCAAAAAGCTGCTAGACGCCACGTAGAGCTGGTCGTGAACGGCCGGACTGCTCAGACGGTTCAGCATATGCGCTTGAGCTGTCCTTCATGTGGGAAACAGGGAGTGACTTGGGCAAGGGAAGACGGTAGCATTCTTTTGAGAAGCACAGAATAGAGGTTCAACTGAGTTATTATTTCGTGGGATTATGTTTCTCTAAGCGGGAACCTTAGATGCGAGGTAATATTGTGGCTAGCCACCTCTTCTCTCGTGCTTCGCGTTTTGCACATCTGCGCCCCGCTAGGATTGCTGCTTCTTCACTCTGCCCACCCACCACCGCTTTGTATGTGCAGTTTTGCGCCTGTGTGTATGTAAATATATACATGGAAATATGTGTCTGTGGCGTTCGCTGTCGTCTCCTGCATACACCTCTCCTTGCACCTGGATGTCACACTTCGCCCCCTGCGTGCCCTCTGCCCAGGGCCTTTGGGGTCCAGCTCACACGCAAAAGCTAGAATATGCTCTGTGTGCACGATGGGAGTGCGTGGCTAAGGGAGAGTTTGAGGGGAGGCGCCACTGTATTTGAGCTCCACGTGGCGCAGGAAACCGTGGTACGGGTGGGGGGCTGCCGCTGACTCCCCTCCCTTCCCCGCCGATTTTAACTGCAATCTACGTGGGCGTTGTGCCAGAATAACATCCTCGGGATTACGTGTTCCGCATATGCGTGCATGCAGCCGGTGCGGCATGTGTCTTGGACTGCAGCAGAGACACGAACGCCTCCCCAAGGCGTGTGCAGCCAGCTGCTGCAGTAGCTCATTTCTGGCTCCTTTTCAGCGCATCTGGTCCAAAGATTGCCCCGAAATACGAATCAAAAGCATTCAGCAGGGAGAACTGCCACGTAAGAGCATCCGGCCCCGAAGATCGGCAGCTTTTGGTGGGAGGGTGGTAGTTGGTGGTTGCAACGCTGACCACAAAAACACGACCCCTCCACTGTGGGTTCAGCCGGCCTATATAGCTGCGCCTTCCGCCTCTCCGAAAGTCTTTAAGCGGTCATTTTCTGCACGACACAGCGTGTTCGCACGCTTCGCCCCCTCCAAATCGCCAGTTACAGCCTCCCCTCGTGGGCTGCTGCAGCACACCGTCCAGCGCTGCGCGTCTAACGCGGCAGACGGGCCCTTCAGGGGCCCTCTGTCTTGGCTTTTCTCCGAGTTTACTGTCCTTTTTTAGCGTTTTAGAGGGCAATGGAGGAATTTGCGGCGCCGGTAGGGGGAGACAGCGCGCTGCCGCTCCAGCAAGGGGCCCCCCAGGGAGCAGCCCCCTTGCCAGAAGCTGAGGGAGGAGGCACGGCGACAGTGGATGCGAATTTCGCTTCAGGAGAAGCGCCAACAGCGCCGTCAGCAGCAGTACCAGCCGTCACGACTGGCTCTGCTTCCGCCTGCCCGCAGGCGAAAGCAGACGAAGGTAGCAGCAGCGACACACAGGAAGAAAATCCTCGCCCTCTGCCAGCTGAAGTCGCTCATGAGAGCAGCAGCAGCAGGGAGCCTCGACTCGCCCCCTCGGCAGAAGCCAAGCAACGTGCTCGCCTAAAGCGGCAGTTTGTGCGCAACCAGTGGCTGGACATAAACAAGGCACCGTCTTGGCCTCCTATCAAGAAAAATAGAGTATGACAGTTCCTAAGGCTCTGCCTTTGGTGCTCACTTACCTCCCTTATTCGCCCTTTTTCTCGCCACTCCTGCGTCGTGTCTTCCTCCCGTGGAGTGAATTCTTGAATCGCTGAGCACGATGCCTCCTAATCGACTCCCTCTATGTCATCCTGCATCTACCCTCTCTTAAGCGTCCCTGCATTCCCAGTAGGGAGACGCCTGCCTCATCCGCTTCTTTTTTTCGCCATGTCATGCGCTCCTTCGCCTCCTTCCGATCCCCCTCGCGCCTGGCGCCTGCTTCTGTAGACACTGCATGCTCCTCTATGCCTTCTTGTCTGGGACTGCCAGCAAGGGCTTCTTTTCAAGGCGCTGACATCTCGCCGATGCATCAGCGCATCGGCTGTGCGACTCTAGCGGAGGCTGCGCGGCTGTTTGCTAGCGGTAGCTCCAGAGGATCTCAGTCTTCTGTCTCAAGCAGTCACTTCTTGCCCTGCGCTTCCCACAGCGCCCCTGCCGTGCTGGCGTCTGTCGATTACAGTTGGGAATGTGTAGCTGCATGCATGTTCGATTTGGCATCTGTGTGTCGGAGTGTGGTTCTCTGCGCACACTGTTCAGTACCTCGATACAGACTGGCAGAGCGTTGACTTCAAGCCACAAGCGCCTGAAACAAAAAAGAGCAGGTATGTATACAGATAATATATATATGTATATATACATATATATATATGTAGATGCCTGCCTGTATGTCGCCATCTAGCAGCAACTGCACCATGAAACGCCTTGTATTTGCGCGTGTGTGTGCATTCGCTTCGTCTCTGCTTCCTGCATCGCCTCTCGCTGAGCATCTTCTTGTATAGCCAGTCTTATCGCCGTTCAAACGCTTTCTACAACGCATGCGTGCCCGTTTCTTTTTCTCCATCGGTCGCTCGTATAAGGCGAAACTTCCATGGCCCCTGTTTTCTTAGGGCGCTTGCAGGGAGGATGCGAAGGCGCCGTTTTTGCCGCCTCTCTTTAAAACGCAATAAATTACGACGGCGTTGAAATGTCGTTGTCTATGTATAGATCTATGTGAATTTATATACATGTATATATATATAAATTTCACCTATAAATACATGCGTTGCGTACCCCTATGTCTGTGCGTTCTTGTGTGTCTTTTTGTGTGTGTGGGCTGTCTACAGGTTGTTTCTCAATTCTTTGTGTTATTTGTTCGAGGGCGTTATCACCAAGAAGAGCACTCTGGGGAGAAGGGCTGGTCAGTTGTTACTGCAATCCACTGCCGCGATGCATGGCCTGCTGCTGTTGCTGCTGCTGCTTTTCGCTATGCCTTATCGGAAGCGGCTAACACGTCGCATGTTGTCTGTGATACGGACTCTCCTCCACCTTTCGCGTGACTCCGCCGTTGCCACGTGCAGCCCCTTCTTCAGCCTTCTCGTATCCGTTGAACGCGTGGTGTGTAGAGTGGACATAAGGCCACTTGTGCAGTCGCTTGCAGTGCGACGTCGGAACTATCTGCCTTCCGCTTCCTGCGCGGAGCGCTTTTATTGCAGCAGCAGCTGCAGCAACAACAACAATCCTATTTTTTCCTGTCCTCTTCTGTACTGCGTTCTGTGGGGTCCAGGTTTGGGTCTGTTCTGCGAACGCGCGAAAGGCTTCGCGAAGGGAACTGTCATCACCGAATTTGTTGGCTGGCTAGTCGATCGCGAGCAAGCGGAGCAGCTCAGGAAGAGGCGCAGGGCTTCCCACATAGTGGCAGTTCAGGTATTTTTCTGGCGACTTCTGATGTTTGCTGCGTCTGATGTTTCCTGCGTCTGCTGCTCCTGATGCTGCCTTTCTTCGTGGCACCTACAGCCGCTGACACGGCTGCAACACGCAGGGGACGTTGGCTTGCTGCAGGGAAAATCGCGGCTAGCTGCTCTCGTGGTGGCATGGGGTTCAGGCTGAGGCCTTTGTGGGATCCTTCGATGCCCGTGTGCTGTGCAGAAAGGCTTTTTGTACATTGATGGCGTCAAGGATCCGTATTATGGCACCGGAGGGGCGAGCTTCGCGAACGATGGCAGCGAGTTCTTGGGAGGGCCAGGAAACAACTCCTATTTCTATCACTGGTAGGCCTTATTCTTAGTGCTGCAGTTGCTGCGGCAATAACAATAAGACGCGCGTCGGCGCTTCACGGGCTCAGCCGCGGGGGTTAAAGGGGAGCTGGAGGGGTTAGGGAGGTTGAAGGGGAGTTTGGCGGTTAAGGGGTTACAGGGGGGAGAAGAACGGGAGAGTTTTACGCGTGCAGAGTGGCCAGCCCGTCAAGTGACGCCTTAGAGGGCTAGGCGTTTCGAGGCACTTTCCCCCCCTCGCTTTTCGCGATGCTGGAGTTCAAGCCGCTGTTCACGCTGAGTTCTTGTGCAGGTACGATGAGGAGCTCGGGAGAACTCGCGTCTTTCTCCGCGCGACGCGAGACATTGCTCAGGGAGAAGAGATTTTTGTTCCCTATGACAAGAACTACTGGTTGGACAACTTCGAGGAACAGGTTGGAAGAAAAACAAAATTAGCGCAGCCACGGCGTAGCGTGGTTCCCCAGCACGCCCATGGGAGTCATGCGTTTTGCACTGGGCACCGCCTGCACCTCTCAAATTCGACTTGAACGCGTGATTTTGTTTCGATCTACAGTCCATCGTTCTGTGCATGCATGGATAATGCAGGGAAACGCGTGTATGTTCCGTTTGGCTTGGGTCTGAGCCACCGCAGTAGACTCCTGGGGGTGCCGTCTTTCTGTGTCTCGCTGCGCTCTGGCTTCTTTTGGTGAGGAGCAGAGAGCGGCGGCATTCTGAGCCCCTTTCAGTGTAGCACTGTGGCTTGTCGGCCTCTATCGCTCTGACGTGTGGCTGCTTTAGGAGGATAACTGCCCCGACGCGTTTAGGAAGCGCAAAATCGAGCAGCTGCAGCGAAAGTACAAAGACTACACCATCACGTCCATGGAAGATCTCAAGGCTAGACAGGTGAGCTTTGCTTGCAGCTTGCACTAGCGGCCTTGTGCTGTGCGTCCTCTGCGTGTTATGGCTGCTGGCGAAAAAATCGCCTGTTGTCTGTGTTCTGCTGTGGCGGCGGTCTGACTCGCGGCTTGTCCGTCGCCTCTCCTGTTTGCGGAAACGCGTGCGCGCGTGAAAACGTGTCGTTCTTCTAGGCGCTTTTGGAGAAGCTGAAACGAGACAAGCTAGAAAAGCAAAAGGAAAAGAAAGCTCCTCGGAAGCCAAACGTGAAGCGTCCACTGTCCGGGTACATGCGTTTTTCCGTAAGCCGTAGACGGGAGCTTATTGCGGCGGAGCCAGAGTTGCGGCATCCCAAGTGCTTCAAGGAAATCGCGCAGAGAATTTCTCAGGAGTGGAAAGCCCTCTGTCCGAAGAAGAGGAAAGCTTTCCAAGATGAAGCCGCCGCCGACTTCACCAAGTACCGGCAAAAGGTCCTCGAGTGGAGGGCTAAGCATGCGCCTAAGCGCAGAAGGAAGGCCAGAAGGAATGCGAATACACGCGTGCGTTCCGCTGCGGCATCTTCCTCGGCAGATGCAGGCAGCGAGGAAGCCGAGATTAACCAATCGGGAACGGAAAAGACTCCACAACACGCCGAGGTTGGTCAGACGGAGACTGAGAGCCCAGACACTGCAAATGCGGCGACTGATGTGCCTGAGAGCTCAGATGAGGTCAGCAACAACAGCAGACAGTCATCCTCTACCCCAGAGAGCAACCCCGCTACGAAATCGGACAAAAACGCAGCCGTGAGTAGCGGAGATCTTGCCGAAGCGAGCTGCATAGCTGTCTTAGCGTAGCAGGCAGCAGGGGGCATGCCTTCCTCATCAGCAGCAGCTGTATATATACATATATATAGCAGCAATCAAATGAGGAGCGGCTCTGCGCACTCCTCATCGAATCCTCGTTGTTGAGGATCGCCACAAGCGTGCATGGGCTTTTAAAAATTGTTGGGCCCCCTGAGCACTACTCTGGACAAATGGTTGCTTTGTTTTAAAAGTCTCGAACAGTTATTTTGTGGTCGCTTTACTGGCTAGGGGTCCCTCAGAGGGGCGGAGCATCCGGTGGGATCAGTTGCTCCTGGATGCAGCGGGTGTAACCAACTGCAATAACTTCTGGCATGCACGTCTCGCAAACAACAGGGAAGGGGGGCAAAGGGAGGAGGCATGAGGCCGTGCGCCTCATGCCTCTCCGAGCAGAGGCTTTCTGCGTTCTGTGTTAGCGACGGACCAGAACGAGAGAGGCGGTGTGAGCTGTCGCGCGAACTTGGGAAGTCACCTCTCCCGCATGGGCTCTACCCAGACGCTCACGTTATTCATTTCATGTGACGTTCGTCGGGAACTGCCGAAAAACTGTGGCACCGTACCGGGGTTGTGGCTGTGTAGCTGTTAAGTAGCTGCAAAGGAGGAGCCTCACATTGTCTTTGCTACTCCCGCTAATGCTGGCCTGCCCCTGGCTGCCACTGCCTCACCTCTCCTGTGCTGGCAGGAAGGGACCAGCCCGCAGCAATCTATCAGAGTCAAGGCTTGGGCAATCGCTATTTGTTCCTCCGTTGCGAGGTGCCAACAGACCGCGAGAAAGCAAGATCTGCAGCTCGCTTTCGCATGGACTGTGATGCTTTTACTGTATTATTCCTTGATGAAATTCGTTTCAGAACTGCATGTATCTTGCTCCTCCACGCAGATACAGCCCGTAGTGCACATAGAGCCACCCCGAAACCGCACAATGCACGGAGAACCAACTGCCGCGAAAACGTCGGGAGGCAGTAATTTCGAGGTAGATACTAGGGCTTCTCGGGTGCGGCTACCTTTTGAACCTTGTTTCAGCGGCCAAGCTCCCCGTATATGGACTTCTGTTACTTCGGATACCTCACTTGCCTATCGAACCCAGCCTCTATTGAATAGCTTAACGGTTGACAGCACGTTGCATTCACAGTGAACGGCGGCAGGAGGGAGGGTAGTTGGAACGCTTTACTCTAACATTAACAGCTGCAACGGCATTGAAGGACAAACGGCTAACGCACCAACAACCGCTAGGATGGTGTTACTCCGAGGGTTACAGTTTCCCACACCTGCGCTCCTGGCCACAGCCACTCGCACTAGAAAGGGTTAAGGTGGCTCATGAATTGTTCTGCAGCATGTGGACGTGGCGAAAAGATTTACGGTTCCGTTTCGCTACTATCTAGGAACACGTATTCTAAGAGATGTACACGTCGAATGATTCTGTAGATGATGCAAAATCTCGGACCTACAAACGATAAACCTAACAAACAGGTTGACTCGCAAAAGATTTCACACCTGCTAGCGGTCAACAGAAGACGCAATGGTCCCATCTGTCGACAGGTTCTTAAAAAACCGTCTACTCTGTCACAAGTTTATTTCACTCTGCTTGAACGCGTTCACACCTCGAACACGACGCGTGAACGATGGGCAAAATTGGACCCCTAAGGGGACATATACAATCCATCATTGCCCGCCTCGTAGACGCAGAACCAAATGAAGGGTTGACTCCTTCTGAATGTTGTAATCAGAAAGTGTCCTGCCATCCTCCAGCTGCTTGCCGGCAAAAATGAGACGCTGCTGATCAGGAGGAATGCCTTCCTTATCCTGAATCTTTGCCTTCACATTTTCGATGGTATCTGATGGCTCAACGTCCAATGTGATTGTCTTGCCAGTCAAAGTCTTCACAAATATCTGCATGCCACCCCTCAAACGCAGAACCAAATGAAGGGTTGACTCCTTCTGAATGTTGTAATCAGAAAGTGTCCTGCCGTCCTCCAGCTGCTTGCCGGCAAAAATGAGACGCTGCTGATCAGGAGGAATGCCTTCCTTATCCTGGATCTTTGCCTTCACATTTTCGATGGTATCTGATGGCTCAACGTCCAATGTGATTGTCTTGC